AGGCTCGTTCTCCTCAGTGCAGGCAAAGACAATTTTCCCTCCAATTTGGTGGTTTGTGGTTATGTTTTAATGTAGCTCTCACTCGAGCTTTGCAGTTATTTTTAACCACGTGGAGTTCTTTTGGCAAAACCCAGGCTGGTGTGACCAAACAGTGTCAGAGCAGCTCCAGCAGCACCTGCACCACGGCCCCAGTGCTGGCCCTGCCTGCCCAGGGCAGCTCATGCACCTCCCCTCCCTGCCCTGCTCAGCTGGGAGCTTTTGGGATGCTGCTGCTCCTCCCTGACTTAGCTCAAGGTTTGCCTGTTTGCAGCCAGGACACTGAAATCAGAATTGCATTGCGAAGTCAGGCTGGAAATCACTGAGATTTGGGGTTTTTGGTAGTTGGAGAAAGAGATTAGCCAGAGAAGCTGCTCCTGCATCCCTGGGAGTGTCCAAGGCCAGGTTGGATGGGGCTTGGAGGAGCCTGGATTGTGGGAGGTCCCTGCTCATGAGGGGATTCCATGATGAAACCAGCAGTAAATGAGCTGCTTAAGCACCTAAAAAGTAGCTTTGATTTTTAAAATCACTCCTGACTGTGCTTTTGTCAGTATATTTAAAATACGAGGATAATTTATTCCCAAGATGAAGTCAGAAGTGAGGCTGGGCTCTGAATCTTGACAGCACTTTACAATGAAGTTAACAGCAGCAGCTGTGCTAATGAATCAAACTTCAAGGAAACACTTCATGTGAATTTCCAAGTGTTTCATAGTTTGACCGTGTTTATTTTCATGGTAGGGTTTTCCTGGTTCTGAGGAAATTGCTGCAATGACAGCAGCCAGGGAGGGTTTGTTTTACCCCAGTGTAATGGGAGAAATCCTTGTGCTGTAATTAACACCCAGCTGGGGCTGCTTCATTAGAATTGGGCAGAGCAGAGAGCCCAGGTGTGTGCTGTGAGCACAGTGTGGGAGCTGCCATGCAGGAAATCTGGGAAGGAAAGCTGCTCAGGGAGGATTCTCCCCAAAACTGCTGGAGGGACCTGCAAGCTCCAGCCTGTTCAGCTGAAATCCCCTTGGGGAGGGGCTCAGGATCACTCAGCACACTCCATGCTAAAGCATTCCCCTTCTCCAGATCAATGTGTTTTTAAAATTCATAATCTGAATTAACACCACCATCTGTCACATAAGAGTGTCTGCTCTAATATTCACACCTGCACATACAAGCACTTACAGACTCACTAATTCACAACGTGCAACTGCTGTTTTTAATTTCAACCTTAATGAGGGAACAGAATTAAGTTGCCAGCAAACCTCAGATAATCCCTGCACAGGAATTCTGAACTGTTCTCAGGATATTGTTGACTCCTTTGTCCATGTACTGGACTTTAGTAATGCCTCAAATTCTATTTATGGTGTTAAAGTAAGAAGCCCTAGAAAATTCTAATCAAGGTTTTATTAAATAATCCAGATGTTTGACCAGCATTCAGTAGGAACTGTATTGGCAAGTGCAATGGTAAGGAAAAGGCCCCTGATTGGCCGACACTGTTGCTAATTGCTAATTGCTAATGATGTGTGTGCTAATTACTAACCCCCAGTGCCCTGCTGTGTGTGTCCCTGGCATGGCCAGAGAGGGGCTGCTGCTGCTGCTCCCATTAACCCACTAAAGCCTTGGAGAGCAGAATGTGAGGCTCTCCCCTCGTGCTGTGGCCATGTACAGAGAATCAGAGCTGCTGTGCTCCGTGCAGAGGCTCCTGCTGGAGCCATGTCCCTGCCCCGTGTCACAAACACTCCCTGCCCTGGCTCCAGGGCCTGGGGCAGCTGGAATTGTCCCTGCCCACGGCAGAGGGTGGGGTGGGATGGGATGGGATGGGATTGAAGGAACTTCCAGCCCAGTTCTGGGATTCTGTGCCTTAACTCCCATCAGTGCCAGGCCAGGACAGGCTGGGGTTGGAGCTGCTGTGAGCAGGTGCCAGGACACAGCTCCCTGCAGCTGGGGGGCTCAGGAGCAGGGAGGCTGCACCCAGGGGATGCTCTCCCCTCCTCCAGGTCATTTAGCTCAGAAACCTTCAACTGGAGTTTTCTACAGGAACTTCTGGGTTAACTTCAGGATTTCGTGCTTGAGTTATGAGTCCCAGTCTCTCTAGGATGCCTATCTGCACCTCCTGTGCTTGAAAACAAGGCATTTATTTGGATTTTTTTGTTGATTCAAGTGATCTAAATTACTTCCTATGTGGAGCAGCTGCTGGACTGCAGTAAGGGATGTCATGGCATATTGTAAATCAGCTTTCCAAAATCCTGACAAGATTTTCAGTTACCTTTTTTTTTTGAGCTGCTAGATCTGATAATTCTAGTTGCCAGGGCAGACCAGAGGTGCAGCATTTTGTGGTACTTTTTGGACACCTGGGTTTGAACAAAATTCTCTCAGAAGAGGCAAAGACCATGACGAGCCCTGTTCACACAGGAGAGAGGTTTAATCTGCACTGGGTGTAAATAACTTGTCAAACTCCTTTTGACACCATCCACGTTCCTGTTGCTTCTCAAAGTCACAGGTGCTGTTCCCTGGTGGATGATTTAGGTACAAATTATTTTGCTGAGTGTTTTGACATGAAAGTCCAGAGTAGCTCTGCAGGGGCATTGAGGAATCAGATCCTAAATCACACTCGCTGTCCTCCCTCCTTCAGGAAGAAGTGGGTTTTGCTGCTTTGTGCAGGGCTGGAGCAGGGTTTTTTAGAGGAGCAGTCTGAGCTGTTTGTTGTGCTCAGCTCTTTGTGCCCACTGCTCTGCTCCAGGAGCCTCCGTTGATCTTTGCTTTCCCTTCTCTGTGTCAGGAAGTGCCCAGGAATTCCCGGGTGAATGAGCTGCTAAACTCGCTGTTCCCTTTTTGTGCAGACTCTAATTCCAGTATTCCAGAACCACTTGCAAACCCTCCTCCAGAGCTTCCTGCAGAGGCAGCGAGCAGAGAGCTGCACAACCACGTCCTGCTGGACATCGACAACGACACGGAGAGCACGGCGCTGTGAGCGCTTCCCCGGCCTCCCCTCCTGGGGGAAAACCCCAGACCTGACAGGGAACAGCTTCTTCTGGCAGCCTGGCACAGCTGGGCACAGCTGGAGCCTCCTCCTGGGGACACTCACCTCCAGCATGGCTGAGCTTGGAGGAGACCTCTCCAAAAATCGAGCCCAACCTTCGGCCAAGCTCGGGGTTCGCCCTCAGAAGAAGTTGAATGATCTGGGTCTGGACAATGGTTTTCAAACTCTTGGATGGAAGGAAGGAATTCCTGCAGGAACTCGCCTGGGAAGCGTGGGCAGTGCTGCTACAGGTGGTATTAGCAGAAATTCCAACAGAATAAGAAGCAGAACATCAGTTATTTAAAGTGCATGTCTGTATTAGGGCAATAATCGTTCTCTCAGCACGGTTAGAGGTTCTTTGTAGTTCTTAGCCCCTACCAGGAGCTGCCTCCCAAGGGCCATTCCCTCTTGGATTTGCTGCAGATTCCCCTCAAGCCATGAACCAAACCCCTGCCCCAGTGCTGGTGGTGACTGCTGGTTCTCAGTCACCCTGTGGAACTGTGGATGCATCCAGTGCCTTGAAGGACTGTCGTGCTGTAGGAGGAACTTCCTGTCTCTTTAATCATTTCATTGCTACTTAGGATCAGTACTTACCCTGATTTCATAGTTATTTGTATTAACCTGCTTTGTTCATGTGCAACTGGCAACTGTTTCACGAGGAAACCGTGGAAATGGGGTTTGTGCTTTTGTTGAAAACGGTTGAATTTTGAAAGAACTTTGAAACAGCTGTTTGGATTCAGCAGTTGAGTGAACATTTATAAAATTAAAGATTGTTTTTTGTCAACTTAAGGCATCTTTATTCCAGTTTTGTTGCTTCCACTGGGCCCTGAAGGTCACAGTGCTCCCCTGGACTGAGTAGCTTGGTTTATCCTTGAGGACTTCAGTGGGAGCACTTTGGGACCTTCCTCTCACACCAGCCCTGTGACAAATCTTTGTAACTCTAAATTCAGTTTGATGAGCCACAATCTCCAGTCCCGTGACTGATTTTGATATTTATCCCCCAAACTGTGCAGTTCCTCTGTCCCCCAGGTTTCCAGCAGTGTTTCACATGCTCAGGGAGGGTCCCCAGCTCCCCTGATGTGCTTTCACAAGAATATTTTCTGGTTCTGTGGCCTGCTGCAGGTTTCCAGGTGTTCCTGCATTGTAGGGGCTGAGGTTTGCTGGACCCTGCAGTGTTCAATGAAGCCCAGCAGCCTGGGGAGGGGGAGCAGAATGTGCAGGGAGCTCCAGGACATGGACATGGGGCCCAGAGGTGTTGGCAGCGCCCCTCCCATCCCCACACACTCCAGGCAGGCAGGCAGGGACCAGCTCTCACTCTTTAATGTTTCTCTGCAGCTGCACAAAGCCCCAGGGCCAGTGGTGGCCCCAGGCCAGGGGTTTCTGTGGGTGCCCAGGTGATGAGGGGCTGCCCCTGGGCACCTCTGCACACCTGGTGGGGTTGGGCTGGTTTAGGTCCTTCAGGTGCCCCTTGGCTGCAGTTTTGGGGCAGTTTCCACGCTGGTTGCTGATGTTGGTGTTGCCATTGGAGTGTCAGAGCTCCCAGCCAGCCCCAACAGCTCTCACTGCACAGGGGAAGGAGCTGAACAGGCACAGAGGCACAGCAGAGCCCAGAGAACATCCCTGGGCCCTGCTCCAGGCACTCGAGGTGTCACTCTTGTCCCCCAAGGCCAGAGGAGCTGAACCAAAGGGGACCCAAGTGGTTGTAGCTGGTTATAGAGGCATAAATAGGAAGAGAATCCAGGCTTCCTGAATTCCAGGCAGTGCTCTAAGGCCAAAGAGCAAAATTAAATATTTAAAATAACCAAACCAACCTTCCTCAGCTGGTTGGTGCCAGGTGGGGTCTGACAGTGCCAAGTGCTCAGCCCTGGGCACAGCCAGGCCCCCATTAGAAATAAGGAAAATATTATGTCTTTAAAACGTCTTAAATAAGGAAATAAAATTTAGAAAGCATTAAGAATTACATTAACCCTCTGCTAACCATTAATATTTACACCAATTAGGATTAGTTGATGTGTGTGGCTATGCAAAGTAAGCCCAGAGGAAGACCCCAGCACACACACACAGGAGCAGGTTGATGTTCAGCACGTGTTTCACCAGGGGCTTCTCCTCCAGGGAAGCCACGGGCAGGGGCTCAGGTTTGGGCACGTTCTCAGCACCCTCCTGCCTGTGCTCCATCCCACAGAGCCACAGGAAGGTGCTCAGCAGCTTCGAGCTCCCCTTGGCCTCGGCTGCACCTGGAATGAGAGCAGGGAGAGGAGGAGGAGGGAGCCAGAGACTGCCAGGGCTGCTCCTGTGCAGGGCTTGGTGCACAAACACCGAAGTGGTCTCTGCATGAGCACTGGGATCCCTTTGGGGCTGTAGGACCAGCTCCATCCTCCCTGAGCTCAGGTCCTGCTCTTGCAGCATTTCAAACCACAGTAACAACAAACCAAAGCTAAAATCCACGATAAAACAAACCAAAAAACCGGAGCTGTGTCTGCCTGGTGCCCCTCTGCCTCCCCTGCTCTAGTCCATTCCTGCCACAGCCCCAAACTGAACTTTCTCACATCGTTTCATGCTCATGTCCAGCAAGTGTGAGACTTCCCAGCAGTGGGAGAGCTGCTCTGTAACTCATTAACTGCACTCATTAACTCCCACCAGCTTGTTACAGATCAAAGGAACTGCAGCAAAAGCTGCAGCGTTACATAAACAGGGCCTGGCAAAGAGCAGGGGATGGAATCATCACTGCACAATGCCCAGGGAGCTCTGCACAAGGCTGTGCCTAACACCAAGTACCAGCTTTAAAAAATGCTCATCCTCCTTCACTGATCTGCCAAGAACTCAGCCCAGGGCTGATCAGAAAACGCTGCTGAAAAATAAAGGGAATTTCATCAACGTGATTGTGTTTGCCCCCACCCTCCCCTTTTCCAGCCAGTTCTGGCAGCAGGGGCCACAGCCAGTGGTCACAGCATAGTGGCCATGGCTCTGTGTCCATCCAGCTCCTTGATTTCAAGCTTTTTAATCCCATTGAGAGCTGGAAAAGAAACTGAACTCCTGCCTAGGTAAAATATCAGGTAAAGCCTTTTTATCCCTGGACAAGAGGAGATGGAGGTCAGACCTCACTGTGCTCTGCAGCTCTGATCTCTGGGACAGGGGCAGGACCCAGGGCAGGCTCAGGCTGGATTTTAGGGAAAGGTTCTTCCCCCAGAGGGTTTGGGCATTGCCCAGGCTCCCCAGGGAATGGGCACGGCCCCGAGGCTGCCAGAGCTGCAGGAGGGTTTGGACACCAGGAATGCCCAGAGTGGGATTTTGGGGTGTCTGTGCAGGCCAGGAGCTGCATCAACAATCCCTGTGTGTCTCTCCCAACTCAGCATATTCTCTATTCTTTAATTCTACAATTCTTTCAGCACACCCTGAACCTCCAACAGTGCAGAAAAAGAAGTTTTAACGTTCCTTGTCTTGCAGGAACAGCGGGGGCTGTGGGCTGGGGGTCACCACTTACCTTTGGCATCATCAGGAGGGTTCTCAGCAGCAGGGCTGAGCTCCAGCTGCAGGGCATCCTTGGCAGGGGGGTCAGCGCTGGGGTTGGCTGCCAGCTCCTGCTTGGGCACAGGATCCCCACGGGTGAACCAGGTGAGCCGGCTGATCTGAGGGCAGGAAGAGGAAACTGAGGAAAATGTCTGGGCCAAAATCCACCCTGCTGGCCCAGGGCAGCAGCTCAGGGCTCTGCTCTGTGGGATCTGTGGGTCTGGAACTGAGCAGCTGCTTCTCCTTCACCCCAACAAGGTGGGTTTGGACTGAGGGACACCTCAGTGTGGGCACAGGCTGGCAGCAGGTGAGGAAGGAGCAAAAAGAACAGAAATTGTGGCCAGGGAGAGCTGGCTGGGAGAGACAACAGGTGGGGAATAAAGGGGTTTTCCTTCAGATATATAAAATATCCTTATAGAGGGATGTTCTCCATGGCAGTGTGGATAGAGAACACCACATAAAGCTGGGAAGGTTGGGGTTGGAGATGAGGAAAAGCTTTTACAGGGAGGGCAGGTGAGCCCTGGGCTGATCACCCTCCTCCAGACATCTCTGAGTGCAGGGCTGGTCCTGCCTCAAAGGATGGGGACAGGATGGGGAGCTCTGAGCCCCCCTGCCCCTCCTTTGTGCTCTCGGTGCCTCCTGCAGCCTCAGCACCAGGACATGCTCTGAAAATCGTCAAACTGGCACAAACCTGTTCAGAGAGAGGAGCTCCCTGCACTGGGATTCTCTTTTCTGAGAGGAAAAATATTTCCTTGCTAAGTTAGTAAGAGAGTGGGTAAAGATGACCCAGAAGCTGGAATTTCTTGGAAAATAGAAGGGAAAAGGCTAATTTGTCATGGATGAGACACACACACTTGAAGTGAACAACAGCTCATGGCAAAATCTACTGCTGAGCATTCTCCAGGGTGGGGCCAAAGCAGAAACAGCAGCAGAGATGCTGGAGCAGAGGAGGGGTCACTGCTACAGGTGTGACCATAAACAAGAATAAACAAAGCTCATTTCTGCCTGGGGAAGCAGCAGGGACATCCTGGAAAGATTTAGGGCAGAGGGAGCAGGGGGGGTCATGTGGATAAAATGTTAGAGGTTTAGGAAAGTTAAAGTTAGGAAAATCATTTTCAGGTTGGAGTTTTTCCTGGTTTTCTCAGATCTGTTTTTAAGCTAATAACGTGTTTAGTTTTAGTAAGGATTTTTTTATTTTTTTTTAAGATAATAGTTTAACTAAATAAAATTAACGATATCGATTTAATTTTATTTACGTTAATATTTATATATAAATATATCGTATATATTATATGTAATAATATATTATGTAATATATAATAATATATTATGTATAACAATATATAATATATATTATATAATTCTATATTATTTATATAATATGTATTTTATATTATATATTATTTGTATTATATACATTATATATTAAATATCATTTAGATAATATATATTATGTATATATTTCTATTTATAGATTTAATTTTCATTTTCTTAAATAAAATTAATCATACAGATTAGCTCCTGGTGCTAACCATGGGACCCATCCTGAAGTACGGTCCCAGAAGCATTTCTCCACTAAACTACTGTCCTAAGTCCACGAAAATAAATAAAAATACAAATCCCCTTCTCAATCAAACAGCTGCTTTTCCCCAAGGAAGCCCGTGTTTCTGCAGCTCAGGCTCACGCACCATTTGTGGGGCTGGGGGCTCGGTGGCCACGCTGACCACGAGCACGGTGAGGGTGGTGATGGCCCCCAGCACCATGGAGAAGTACAGGTAGTGCATGTACTTGATCACACCTGGCCGGGGGTCGGGCTCTCCACACCGCGGCTCGGGGTAGATGAAATCCAGCACCAACCTCACCACGCCCAGCAGCAGCCCCAGCAGCAGCCCCCAAAAGGCTCCCTGGAACAAAAAAAAAAAAAAAAAAAAGGAATTGTGGTGTTGGAGCAGCCTCTCAGGGTCAGCATTGGTATAAGTACATGATATGTTGTTGGTTTTTTGCAAATATTGAGATAAATGCTATTTGTATAATGTTAAAATAGCTTTTCTGTACGAATATCGTTTTTTTTTTTNGAAATCCAGCACCAACCTCACCACGCCCAGCAGCAGCCCCAGCAGCAGCCCCCAAAAGGCTCCCTGGAACAAAAAAAAAAAAAAAAAAAAAACCGAAGCTCTAAAAACACACACATCTCCCACTCTTTATTTTCTTCTGTTTTTTTTTCACTATTTTTTTTTAAAAAAAAAAAAAAAAAAAAGGGAATTGTGGTGTTGGAGCAGCCTCTCAGGGTCAGCACTGGTATGAGTACATGATATGTTGTTGGCTTTTTGCAAATATTGGGATAAATGCTATTTGTATAATGTTAAAATAGCTTTTCTGTACGAATATCGTTTTTTTTTTTTCTTTTCTTCTTTCTCTTCTAATAGAAAAAGTCAGACATGAGGGGTTTTTGAGATAGGATGCTTAAACTACCCGCTTAGTAGAGATACCAGCCCGTGAACGTGTGAGGGGAACCCTGCAGCTGACACGACAATTATCAACCCCCCGACAATTAATTATCAGCACCCCGACAATTACCAACCCCCCGACAATTAATTACCAACACCCCGACAATTAATTACCAGCACCCCGACAATTAATTACCAGCACCCCGACAATTACCAACCCCACCGGCTGCAAAAGGCCGGGACCACCACCCAAATTAAAAGGTGAAAAGAAGAGAATTAAAACCACAAGCCAAGAAACACGCGTGCTCTAAAAAGGCCAAGGAACGGTTCCCAAAAAAAAAAACCTTTGACTGAGCATGAAAAACTCCGAATATGCAATGGGTTGATGCGTTGTAAAACGGATTTAAAGGAACATTTCCGAAGCAGCCGGCCGTTTTAACCCTTTGCTTTGTGTTTTAATGTCTTTTCATGAAACCTTTCCGATTTTAGCGGGGCAGGGTGTGTTTTTCACAGCACCTTCTCGTTGGCTCTCCTCCAGAAGCAGCCCAGGATGAAGACCATGGCCACGGGCGGCTGCAGGTACGAGCTGATGGACTGGATGTAGATGAAAAGCTGCCCGCCCTGGCCAGCCTGCACCAGGGGGATCCACAGGATGGACACCACGGTGAGCAGCAGCACGAACACCCTGCCGAGACAAGGGAGCCCTGCCCTCAGCTCAGCCTGGTGGCCTCAGGCACAGAAAAACCTCCTGTGAGACTTTTTCCAGCCCGAGCTTCTCAAGCTTAGCCAGAATTCTTTCCCAAAGCTAGCCAGCCACTTTATCTGATGCAAACATAACAGAAGAGTTAATAACAAAAATAATCCCCTGTTAAATACGTGTGAGAAGCACAGGAGAGAGGTGTCACTTTCTCAGACCAATCAGCTGAATTCTGTCTTTAGAGTTACAAAAAACTCCACTTGAGCAGCGTATTTTAAAATAAACTCCTCTCTTTCCTACCATGACAGGAACCATGGAACTGTGTCTTATTTCTGCTGCTCCAAAGGGATAAATCCTTAACCCACAGCTGCCCAGGCTCTGCTTTTCCTGCTGCTCAGAGGGTCTGGCCAAGGGTGTCCCCACAGCCCTAAAGGCTCCTCTGCAGCCCTGCCCGAGCCCCTGCAGGGTGCTGGCCCCTCAGCAGCTGTGCCCAGCTGTGTGCCTGGCACGCGGCCCTGATCCAGCTGTGCCCAGCTGTGCCCCTGGCACCCGGCCCTGACCCAGCTGCTGCCGGTTCTCCCCACCTGCCCACGATCATCAGCTCCCACTCGGAGCAGCGGGGCCGGAGGTGTTTCCACAGGTCCATGGTGAAGATGGTGCTGGAGCTGTTGAAGATGGAGGTCAGGGAGGACATGAGGGCTGCGATCATCACCGACATCATCAGGCCCCTGAGTCCTGAGAACAAGGACAGGCAGAGCCACCCTGAGGACCCCTCAGTGGCAGGGTGGTTTTCTGTGGGCTAGAACAGACTTAAAACTGGTTTTAGCTCCAGTTTGAAATGGCAGTGATAGTGTTTGTCCCACACAAACCCCACTAAATGACAGTTCCAGGCTCTTTTCCTCTCGGAACTTCCCTCCTGTGGCTGCCACTTGCCAACCCCACCAGGGCTGAACCCTCACCAGGCTCTTACCTACAGGCAGGAGCTCCAACACCAGCTTGGGATAAGCAATATCAGAGCAGCCAGAGGGGTTGCCACAGATTTTTTTGCAGATTTCTGGGTCTGCACAAGCCACCAGATCTGAAACAAGCAGTGGGGAGTGAGAGACAGCAATCCCAGCCACAGGACACCAGTGTCTCCTCTGCTGAAAGGTGGAAACTGCTTTCTAAGGGAAATTCTGGAGAGCTTGGGGGGATTCCAGCAGATGACACAGGGCTGTCTCAGCACAGGGATGTCTGGGGCTGCTCTGGGAGGATCTGCATCCTCCAGCTCCTAACTGGAACAAAATTTCTTCACGTGTTGGGCATTTGATGCATTGGAACCTCTCAACTTATTCAGGAAAGGCTTCTCCAGCTCGGTGGAGTTGGCACAGGCAGAGGGAGAGGAGAGATCTCTCCCTCAGCACTTACCTGGGAACAGAACCCGGCTGATCATGCCTGGCATTACCATCATAAAGAGGGGCAAAATCTTCAAGTAGGAGGTCATCAAGGAGCCTCCTTTGGCGTGGGAGAGGTTTTTGGCAGCGAGGGACCTCTGAACAATGACCTAGGAATGAAGGAATGGGTTTGGTTGGCTGCCAGCAGCAGGAGCTGGCTGGGATGGAGCGACCCCGACTTTGATCTCCACTGAACTCTGGAGGTCTCAGAGGGTGATCACAGAGCTTGGCTGTGCCTCTGGAGCTGTGCTCTGGATCCTGGCTCCTTTCAGAAGCACAGGCACTGCTTTGAGCCTGGGAGGACACTGTGCTGACCCTCACCTACCCCTGCCCAGGATTTTCCTTTCTTCCTGCACTGGGGACTTTCCTGAGCCTGTGGAGGAGCCTGGCCAAGGAGAGGACAGAGCCTGGAATGGGCAGAGTTAAATAAGAGAGCAAGAAAGCCCAGCTGGGACAGCAGGAGGTGTTTTAGGGTTCAGGTCCCTGGTTCTGATGGGGTCACTGGGAGGGACGGGAGCCAGACCCCAGGAAAGGTGAAAGAAGAAATTCACAGGTGGTTCAGGAGGAATGAAAGGATTAAGTTAAAAAGCAAGCAAACAAACAAAAGACTTCCTTATAGACTGGGATTAACACACAAACACATTCTTACCCCTTTTTCCATGCAGATGATTACTATGTGCATATCAAGTTTTCCTTCTTTAGGACTTAACCATCTGCTATTACTGATGGTAAAATAAGATTTTACTGATGATGCCCCTCAGAAAAATCAGTCCAGGTGAGATCACAGCCCCCAGGTTTGTAACCAGATTCAAGCAGAGACCCACCTGATCTGTGCACCAGTACCACAGGGATGGGATGGTCATTCCCACCAGGACTCCTGGCCAGGGCAGGTCAGAGCTCACAGGATCTCGGAAAATGTGGAAAGCGTCTTCCCTGGGCAGGCCACAGCTGCTGTTCTCCTTGCGGATGCTGGGAATGGCATCAAAGTATTTGGCCTGTAAACCTTCAAGGCCACCAACTTCAATAAAACCTGAAATGGGGCATGAGAAGCTGTTACTGCATCCCCCCGGGTCAGGAGTCTGATTCCAGTCTCGGGGTGATGCTCCACAAATATTCCTTCAAAATCAGCAGCTCTTGGTTCTCACTCTGGGCTGGGGAGGGGCAGACACTGCTGGCTGGAGCAGGAGCTGCCTCTGCTGTGGAATCACAGAATCCTGGAAGGGTTTGGGGTGGAAGGGACCTTAAAGCCATGGCAGGAACACCTCCCACTGTCCCAGGGTGATCCAAGCCCCATCCAGCCTGGCCTGGGACACTTCCAAGGATCCAGGGGCAGCCAGAGCTGCTCAGGGCACCCTGTGCCACCTCCCAGGGAAGAATTCCTCCCCAATATTTAACTTGATGAGGCTTCTGTCACAGTTTAAGTGACCAGCCCCCAGGGGAACACTCACTGAAGACCATGAGGGACAGGGCCCCGACGAGCATGATGAGGGTCTGCAGGGCATCCGTGTAGATCACAGCTGCCAGGCCACCTGGGAGAGCAGAGAGGCACAAACTGGGATGAACTGGGGCTGTTCTCTCACAGCACTTCACACTTTGCACAAGTTCTTGCCCAGCAGCACAAGCTGAGCCCTGAGCCTGGCTGGGGAGTTCTGTCCATGCTGGGGGGAGATTTGGCCAATGGCACTTTGGAATTTCTCAGGATTTGAGTCATCGTGAGTCACCATTTTGTCACTATAAGCCAAAAGCAGGAGTAGTTCTACGGGAAGTAGATGGAAAAAGTCTAAAACAAACCCAAGCTGAAAAGGGAGGAGAAAAAAAAAAGGGGGGGGGGTTGGGATTTTACATCACTGGGGGTGAGCAGTGGGAAAGGAATAACCTTTATTTGTTTGGGATTTCTGTGTGGCTGTTTTCCATTTGGCCACTCCTAAGCCCTGAAAGGGCATCCAAGCCTGGAGTCTTTCTGCATTACACGGCTCATTGTGGTGTAAATCCCTCACACCTCCGGAGAGCCCCGGGAAAACAGGGAAAATGTCCCCTGAAAATGTCTCCTGAAGGCAGAGCTGGCCTGCACCCACCTGGGGTGGCCTCTGAGGAGGGTTCACTTACTCTCACCTGGTAATTTTTCCTAAAAAGGTGAGTTTGCAATTGGTTTCCCACCCCGATATCCACAGTCATGCCAAAACCAGGCTGGGGAGGCAGGACACAGTGCATGGCATGGGACATGGAGTCCTGGCATGGTCTGGGTTGGGAGGGACCTTAAAACCCATCCAGTGCCACCCCTGCCATGGGCAGGGACACCTCCCACCATCCCAGGCTGCTCCAAATCCCAACATCCAACCTGGCCTGGGATACTCGGATGTCTCAGGGGCTGGGCAGGGGCAGGGTCTGGGGTAGGGTAAAGGTCATCGACAGGGACAGGGGCAAGGTCAGGGTCAGTGACAGGGCCAGGTCAGGTGTGTCCCCAGCACGCACCAGCCACGGTGTACACGGCAGTGATGGCCAGCAGCCCGGCCACAGCGATGTACAGGTCCCAGTGCAGAGCCTGCTGGATGAACAGAGCCCCGGCGTACATGTCCACCTGCAGGACAGCAAAGTGACAGCACAGTGACACAGGGACAGCACAGGGACAGCACTGTGACACAGAGCACAGTGACACAGGGACAGCACAGGGACACAGGGACAGCCTGCAGTGACAGCACAGTGACACAGGGACACAGGGACAGCACAGTGACACAGGGACAGCACAGTGACAGCCTACAGTGACACAGGGACACCCTGCAGTGACAGCACAGTGACACAGTGACAGCACAGTGACAGAACAGTGACACAGTGACAGCCTGCAGGACAGCACGGCGACAGCACAGTTACAGCCTGCAGTGACACAGTGACAGAACAGTGACAGCACCACCCAGCCCCTCCCAGTGTGCCCCCCCTTACTGGGACCAGCCTGGTTCGGACACAGCCCCCCAGTCCCCCTGCAGCCCCAGCTCGACCAGCGCCATCCTCCAGCCAGTTCATCATTGCAGCTGGTCACAGTGGTGACAGTGGAGGGTGACAGGGCTGTCACAAGAAGGAGGGCACTGGGCTGGGCTGAGTTTCTCTCTTTCCCCAAGCCCCAGGGTTGGGGAGCTGGGCTGGGCAGGCTCTGGGGAATTTGCCCTGCAGACCCCCCTTCCCCAGCTCCTGGGCTGCCGCAGCCCCAGCTCCCCTTGGGAATTGTCCCTGCTCCTGGGGACAGGGTCAGCAGCAGCAAAAGTGTCCCCAGGGCTGGGCCCAGCCCTGCCCAACCAGCTCTGCAGCTACGTGAAAATGCAGCGGGTTCAGAGAGCTCCAGGACAGGCAAAGGGGGGACAGAGAGGTGTAAAAACCCTGAGCACAGGAGCTGCAGTGCCAGAGACTCCATCCCATGGGCACTGGGATCTAGAGGAGAAGCTGAGCCTCCCCCATCACTGCCGTCTGAACTTGCATCCTTTTCATACAACCCTGGAGTGGTTTGGGTTGGAGGGACCTCAAAGCCCACCCAGTGCCACCTCTGCCATGTTTAGGGACACTTCCACTGTCCCAGGCTGCTCCAAGCCCTGTCCAGCCCGGCCTTGGGCATTGCCAGGGATCCAGGGTCAGCCCCAGCTGCTCTGCCATCCCTCACAGAGCAATTCCTGCCCAGTATCCCATCCATCCCTGCCCTCCAGCACTGGGAACCCATCCCCTGTGTCCTGGCACTCCAAGCCTTTGTTAAAAGTTTCGGGAGGTTCAGAGGCGGGGTCAGACACCGTGTCCCACCCTGTGTGTGCAGGAAGAACCCAGCAGGGATCTGTCTGTCTGTCTGTCTGTCTGTGTTTTCACGGGTCTGTGCCCGGGCTGGCAGTTAATGAACAGCCACCGAGCTGTTGTGCAAGGCTTGATTCAGTTATTTATTCAAACAGGTGCAATAAAGGAATGAAAACTTTTCTTCTAACCCCGTCCCAGCTGCTCCATCCTGCCATGACAGCACCTGGTGTCTGCACAGGTAATAAATGTGCAAAGGGGAGAAACTGGGGGAGCTGCCAGGGGTGCAAAATCTAACAACCAGCACATCCACCCTCAGAGCCCCAGCTCCCCATGGGCTATTGCTCAGGACACTGACACGAGCATTCAGGTGCCAACTGCAAAAAAAAAAAGGAAGCTACTCCTTTTTTTTGTGTAGGTGCTCAAAAAACCTCCATTCTCTCTTCCTTGGGTGTTTTTATCACAAACCCTTCTGTGCTCATCCAGGAAAGGCCACTCGTTGCATTTCCCAGCCTCACTGCTCAGCACACATTTCCAAAATGAATTAAATCCAATCCGTTTCCCCCTTTTTTTTTTTTTTTCTACTTACAGATATTTTGGTGAAGATGTAGATGAACAAGTAGAGAATGGCCAGGAATATCTGAATTCTTTTGCCTCCAAAACGTCTCTGCAAATACTCGGGCATGGTTGTAACCTATGGAGAGACAGGGAGTGAGGGAAGGGGGGACAATCCCTGGGTCACTCCCAGGGGCTCCCCATGGGGCTGGGGGTGTTTGCAGTGGGACAGGAGCAGGAGGGTCCTGGGGGCTGCTCTGGGCTGGGATTGGGCTCTGCTGATGATGCCTTAAGCTTTAACTTCCATATTTTTTAGATTCTGCACTGCACTGGTGTGTTACTCTGAATTTCACATTAAGTGTTTCCAAGTTCTCCTCACAGTCAGCCACACAAAACAATCCTTTTCCAGCCACCTCTTACAGCTTCAGCCCCAAAAAATGCAAACAGCAGCAAATTGAGGAGAGAATCTGGGAGGATGAGACTGCAGAACCTGGAGCTGGGATTGGACAATGAACCCCAAAATGGAAATGGACCCAAACTTATAAAAGTGTGAAAAATCATGACCCTACACCCATCTTGGATGGAGCCCTGGCCAGGCTGCTGTGCTGCTTTTAATAAATCCCTGCTTTATTCCTTTAACTCAGTTCCGGGTCAGCTTCTCCAGGCATCCCTGCCGTGCTGGCACAGCTGGCACAGCTGGCACAGGGCTCTCCATCCCCTGCCCAGGACAGGGAGGGGTTCTGCTCCCTGCAGGGGGGTGGGAGCACTCGGAGCCCCCAGGTCAGACCCTGGCAGCAGCTCTGTCCCCCCAGGCTGAGCCCGGAGCAGCTCCAGGCCCTGAGGGAGCAGAACAGGGAGGGAATCCCTCAGCAGCCCTGGGACACATCCCACACCTACCCCCGAGGAGATGTAGATGGGCAGGAAGAGCCAGGCCAGAACCAAGACACAGAACATCCCCTGTAAGGGAAAGGAGGGTCAGACTGGTGGGATGGGGTGGGATGGGAAGATGGGAAGACAATGAAAAGATGATGGGGATAAAGGATGGAGAGATGGGAATATGGGATAAGAAGATGGGATGGGAATATGGGAACATGAGATGGGAAGATGATGGGGATATAGGATGGGCATATGGGAAGATGGGAAGATGATGGGGATATGGGAATATATGGGATGAGAAAATGGGATGGGAACGGGAATGTGGGAATGTGGGACACGGAGCTGTCCCCGCAGGGCCGGGCAGGGCTCCAGCCGGGAATGCCACACTCACATTCCACTCGTAGGCTGTGGCAGCAATTCCCGAGGCAGCTCCCGAGCCTGCCAGGCCGATGAAGTGCCCGCTGCCCACGTTGCTGGCAAACAGGGATGCTCCCACCTGGGGAAAGGGAGGGGTCAGCTCCGGCCCTGGCACAGGGCACCGCTCTCAGCTCTTCCCCCACTCCTGGCTGCAGAGGATGTGAAATCCTTGTCAGCCTCTGTCTTCTTTTCCCGACAGGTTTTTGGTGGCCTTGGCACCTCTCTCCAGCTTCTTTCACCATTCACTGCCAATTTGTGGGCGTGTTTGGGACCGTCCTACATCCAAAGGACCCAAACTCTTGTGGGTGAGCAGAGAGGGTGGGGGAACAGGTAGAGATGTCAGCACCTACTGAGGGACCAGATGAGACAGCCCAGGCTCAGCACAAAGCTGTGTCCGTGCTGGGGACCCCCAGAAATCTCCAGAATCTGCCAGGTTTTGTGAGACATTGGTCTGAGCCTCACCTTGCAGTCTCAAATCCGGGGGGGGGGAAAAAAAGCCAATATGAAAGTGGCAAAACACAAACTTCGGTTTGTTTTTTCCTGTTTTGCCAGCGTGGCTGCAGCCAGGGCTGTGGGCAGGGGAGGACAGGGCTACTCACAGGCCACCAGACCATCTGTCCCCCGGCGAGGAAATAGCCTTTGACCGTGCTGCGCTGGGTCTTCCACATGGACTGAGGGACAGAGAGGGGACAGGGTCAGCCAGGGGCTCCCAGCAGAGACCCTGAGATGTCACCAGGGGTTCCCTGAGGGACATTTGCTGCTGGGAAATCCTGGGGGCTGAGGGTCGTGCCCTGAGCCACAGGCAGAGCTGTCCATCGTGCAATTCCTGATGGAATGTTCTGTGGAACAGCAAACTCCGTCAGTCCAAGCCAGAAAGGAAGGCAAGCAGTTCTCAGGGATCCCACAAGAACCCTGAACCCCTGAAAATCCACAAGAACTGCAGAATCCCAGGGTTTTAGGAGTGCTCAGGAGGAATTCTGGGCATGGCTCGTGGGTTCCCTTTCCCCACAGATGATCCCTGAGAGTTGTGCACCCCATCCCAAGGGAGCAGCTACTCCCCTCTGCCTCCTGACAGCCGGGCTGGGCTTCTGCTGTCACAAAAGCCATGCCAAAGGATGTCCTTCTGCATTAATTATATATAGACAATGTTAAAAATGTAAGGAATCTGCTGTCAGGACCCCTGTGGACAAGCACGGGTGATTTATAGGACAGCAATTCCTTCCTGGATGAACAAAACATCATTGTTAGCAATACTCTGTACTCAGACAGCCTCTTCCTCACCAGGGTTCTCAAAAGCTTGGCCTGGCCAGCCCTCCCCAGGGACACTGGGGACACTTCCCAGGCTGAGGAGAGGAGAAGGATCTGTAAAACTCCCCCCTCCACCGGTTGACCCCCGTGAAAAGCAGCCCGATTCCAGCCAAAGCAAAGCAATTTTTTGTAGCCCCGTTTTCCAGCATAACGGGGCACACGAGAGGTTTTTATCCAGAGTCAGCTCACCCAGAGCCCCACGGCGAGGACGAAGAGGAAATAGAGCACGAGCACAGCGATGTCCACGGGCTCCAGCCCCTGCTGGGGGAACACATCCCACGAGGGGGTCACAGAGGCCGGGGGGAGGCTGGTGGGGTCCATGGCTTCCTGGGCAGGCTGAGCACTCCTCCGTGCTGATCATATACCTGTGAAAGGATGGGGGGATGGCCAGGGGCAGCCCCAGCCAGGTGGGAACTGCTCCTGGAGGGTTCCAGGCTCCTGAGGTGCTGCTGTGCCAGAGCTCTGGGGCTCAGGCTCCTGTCTCTGCCCTTCTCCCTCCTCCAGAGCTCCCTTGCTGTGATGTGGAGGTGCTGCCAGCTGGGATTTTCTAACTGGTGAGAAATGGGGGCATCAGAGAGAAGGTGGAAACAGCTGGAACAGGCAGAAGGAAGGAGCGGAGCTGGGGGTCACAGCCTGGGGGTCCCAGGGTGGCAGAACTGCAGGACTGGCCCCAGTGAGGAGCTGCTGCCAAAAACGTGTCCCTCACAAGCAGCAGAATGTGATGGCCCATGAACAGCCCCAGCAGTGCTGGCATTTTCCTCCTTTGCCTCCTGTGCACAGCACTTGGGTCTCCTCCTAGCCAGGTAACTGTCCCTGCTCCTTACCAGGAACAGAGACTGGCAATGTGTCACTGAGGAATACAAAAATCCATTTTCTTCTCCAGGAACGCCTGATGGGGAGGTGTGGCACCACTGCAGGATCCCTGCAAGGGCTCCCTGGAGCATCCCGTGGTGCTGCCCCTTGGCAGAAGGGGCAGGATAAAGTCCAGGCAGGGAGGTTGGTTTGAATTAATGCAGCTCCTTCCTATTTCCTCCTTCCCTCAGCTCGGCCACACTTCGAGAGCAGGACAGGAGGTGAGGGGCAGCCGAGGCCACCTCGGGCAGTCCCTGGCTCAGCTGTGGCCACAGTGGGTCCCCAAGGAGCCCTCAGAGCTGCACGGAGCAGGTTTGGGGTTGTTCCTCTTACCCTGCAGAGCCGAGGACAGTTCCCCCGAGAGGAGCAGTCACAGCCGGGCCAGCCCCGCTGTCACCACACACCTGAGCCAGGTGGCTGCTGGTCCCTGTCCTGCACGATTGGCCGGCTCCTCTGGCCTCTCCTGCACTTGTAAGGGGACACTTATAGGCTGTCCCCTGCCAGGAGGCAGCGGAAGGTGTGGCGAGGGTGCCGGGACAGCCGGCACGGATGACAAGCAGTCGGACAAGTTCTTCCTCTGAGCTCCCAGGTGGGAGCAGCTCCTGTCCCGTGGGTTTCACAACACCTTGATCCAGGTGTGGGGCTGCAGCTGACCCCGCCCTCAGCTCACCTGTGGCCCCAGAGTGTCACCAGCCACGCTCCTGCCCCGGTGGCACCGCGGGGATGCCCGGGTGGATGAGCCAGCAGAGTGGAGGAGCTGCAGGATGGAGGGGCTGGGGTGCTGAGGAGGGGGCAATGCCTGCCCTGGGCCCATCCATTTCCCCATAAATAAGGAGTTCCCAGTGGCAGGAACCATCCCGGCACCTGCTTCCCACAGCTGGGAGCTGCATCCTGACTCTGCAGCCTCCAGCACAGCACGGAGCTGGTAGAGAGCCGTGGTGTGGTGGAGGGCAGTGGTCCCAGCACCAGGCTGCGACTGGGGACACTCAGCAGAGCCTTTTCCGTGCTTTGTAACCCCCTGGATCCCTCTGGATTCCTGCCTGGCAGGGATGCAGGGCACTGATGACCAGCCCGCCGCTCTCTCACCTCTTAAAGGGCCGATGTGTCTTGGCTGCCGCGGAGTTTTTGTTGGCACGTTTAACCTCTGACTAGGAAAGGGAAAACAGGGATTGGTATGGCAGCCTGGGGAAGCTGCTGACCCCACTCCCACACCTCCAGCTTCCCCTGGCACCGCGGTTTCCTCCCATCCCGGGACACTTCCCACCTCCAGGGCCACAGGATCAGGGAATCGGGGAATGTCCTGAGCTGGGAGGGACCCGCAGGGATCACCCGGGTCCGCCCGGGTCACAGCGCGGGACAGGGACCGGCACAGCGTCTGTCCCTGCGAGAGCTGTGCGGGGCCGCAGTGTCTGTCTGTCTGTCCCTCCCAGAGCTGTGCGGGGCCGCAGTGTCTGTCTGTCTGTCTGTCTGTCCCTCCCAGAGCTGTGCGGGGCAGCAGTGTCTGTCTGTCTGTCTGTCCGTCCCTCCCGAAGGTGTGCGGGGCTGTGCAGCACCTGCCGTGCCCCGCAGAGGGAGGGAAGGCCCTGGATGCTGCCCTGCCCTGCCCGGGACATCCCCGCACCGCCGCAGGTGCCGCCCCGGCGCAGGAAAACGCCGCAGATTTCCCAGATCCCGACTGTGCCCAGTGGAAATTTTGCCCGTTTTGTGAATTCAGCTCACAGCCCGCTGTCCCCCCGGTGCCTGGCACAGGCGGCGGCGCTTTCCTCGCCAGAGATTGTGAGGAAGGAACATCCGTGGCATGGGAATGAAGCTGCTGGAGCCGGCCCTGTATCAGCAGCGCCGGGGGACGCCGCGCACGTGGCTCTCGAGCACCCCGGCGGCACCGCAGCGCTCTAAATTCCTCCTCGAAGGGGGTTTTTAAAGCATTCCCAGGTCCATCCACCTCCTCTATCCTCCTCCTCCTCGCCGGGGCCCAGGGCAGCCCAGCAGAGCCCGAACCCGACGGAGCTCCCGACTCGAGGTAGAAGCTGAAAGGGAACTTACTGCGCTCAGCTGGGTCTTATTCTGCTCCCCGCGCCGGGCACCAGCAGGGCTCTGCCAACTGACAGGCAGCTTAAATATTGCCAGAGAATCGGGGTTTGCCAGCGGAGCTGTTAACAGGGTCACAAGGAATGAGAAGGAATATTTATAGTCAAAGTTAAACTAATTGACCGAAGTTACTCTTTTGGTCTCCCGTGGCTCTGGTGAGCAGTGCATTATTTTCACTATCAGGGCTCCCGGGTCAAACTCCACGGAGTGCCATTCTCTTAAGCAATCTGTGCGGCGATACAAGGGACACAGAACAATAAAAAATCCGGGCTGATGTCCTCTGGAGCTGACAGCCCGTGGCACAGGGAGGAGCTGACAGCCAGTCCTGTGTCTGTGTTTGTGCCTGAGCCTTGCAGAGCGCAGGATCCAGCCGTGGGCTGGGATTTGTAGCACACTGCTGAGGCTGGAGGTTAATCCCAGAACCGAGTCCCTCTCTGGGAACAGGCTGGAGCTTGGTCTTCAGCATCACCTGTCTGAAAACCCTGGCAGACCATTGGGGCCAAAACACACAGAGAGTGATGCTGAAGAGGGAACTCCCAGCACAGGGACTGACAGGAGGCAGCTCACAAATCCCTGGAATTGGGGTGCACAGATCCCTGGCAGCACCACTGAGATGGCCCTTGCTGGGCAGGTGACCCACGGTGGAGAATGGGCACCGTGCCCTCACAAACCTAATCCATGGCCCAGCCTCGAATTTACCAACAGGGATTTTACTGTAGGTGCCTGCCAGGGGCAGGGTTGGCTGGGATTTTGGGAATAAATCCTTCCCTGGGAGGGTGGGCAGGCCCTGGCACAGGGTGCCCAGAGCAGCTGTGGCTGTCTCATCCCTGGAAGTGTCCAAGGCCAAGTTGGATGGGGCTTGGAACAACCTGGGACAGTGGGAGGTGTCCCTGCTCATGGCAGGGGTTAGGGTTGGATGATCAAAGTCCCTTCCAATGCAAATTTGATGATTCCATGGAAAAAAACCAGTGTCTGTATTTTATCTCATCGTTTCCCAGGCACAGCTCTGATGAACAGAACTGTAGCTCTTTTAACCTTGCAATTGGAGATGCATTAATTTCATCTGCTGTGATTTAGAAACCCCATATTTTCCTAAAGGTGGAGCCTCATGGATTGCAAATGCAGCACCAGGTGCCACCTTTCCCTCCTGACTCACAGCCCTTCCTGCCTGAAGCTGAGATATTTCTGCATCCCTTTGGCATCTTTCATGGCACCTGCAGAATAATTACAGACGGTGATCCTTCAAACCATAATTAGGGAACTTAGAGGGAGGGTTCCCAGGTGGTTCCACCTCACCTTGGAGGTGCCTGGTACAAATGTGTCGGGCTGTGACCCACCCTGACTGTGCTCAAGCTGCTCCTTTTCCTCTCTGAGATCTTTTCCCCTCTGTTTCTTGCAGGAAGGAACGAAATCCCTAAATCATCTGAGGTTTGGAGTCCAACCTGGGATTTTTCAGGAGCCTCGTTTCCCGGTGTGTGCCAGAGGATGGAAGTGGCACCCGTGGAGCAGGAGCAGCCAGGGCTGCATTCCCTGCACTGCCCCTGGCTGCTGTTTCCTTTCCAAGGCCAGGCTTTGCTGTGAGGATGATCCCGTGGTCAGGGCTGACACAGGAATTCTGTGTGAGGCTCAAAGGTGCTGGCTCTGGGCAGGAATTACCTCACGCCTACAAAAACGTTCCCAGAGCCCAGGAGAGCGGCAGTGTGCAGGGAATGGTGTGGAATGGTGTGTGGGACGTGCAGAATGCAGGCTCGGGGACATCATTCCCTGCTGGGAACGGGCTCAGCCCGGTCACTGGAGCTGTGACAGCCACGCTGGGCTGGTCCCTGGGGCAGGAGGAGTCGGAGCACTCCAAATGGAATTTCAGGAGCGCTGGAGGTCACCTAATCCACCCTGCCCGCTCCCTGGAGCGCATCCCTGGGATCCTGCAGGTGCTCTCAGTGTCAGGAGACACACGTGGCCAGCAAAGGGACACTGTGGTGGCCCCGCACGGAGCTGTCCCAGCTCCGGGGAGCTCCCAGGGCTGGAGCAGCTGCTGTGACCCGGCTGAGCCACAGCACCTGGTGGGGAGCTGCTCCCTGTGGGAGATAAATCGCCCCGGGACATAAACTCAGCCTCAGCCAAGAATTCTTTTTCAGAGCGAAACAATTCACTGGTTCATACAGTTCACTAAATGTTTTCTTCTGAAGGCTGGAGTTAAAAATCCGTACTATTTTAAGAATTTGCTGCTCATTTTGATCCCTCCAGCCTGGGTGCTGTGGTGCAGGAAGGTTCTTCTCCATGCCAGCCCCAGCCCAGCCAGGTGGGAGCCTGCAGGTGTGGGGGTCAATATTAACAAGTGCAGAAGTGCCAGATGCAGAATTCCTCACTCCATCACCAGCAGCAATTCTGGACAGAAGACAGAGGTCTGTGCAGGCAGGAGGCAGAAGGCAGTAGCTTTATTTTAGGAATAGCACATAGGCATTGGGTAGAGACTGAACTGTGAATATACATCATCCCATTATCAAATCATGTCACCAGAAGTTCTGGCTCTTTGAAAATATTCACATAAAAATACCAAAGGGATTGGAGTTCTAACTATTTCAGAAAGTTACAACATGTAGCAAAATCTATGTACAGCATCTTCTGTCAGACAGTTTCAAAAGAACCTCTGGTGGTTGAAAGATTGGATATATTTTTTAAAAAAGAAAAAAAAAAAAATCAACGGAATGCAGTGTGCAACATCCAGAAGGGGGAGAGGAGCAGAGGGAGCGTGGCCCTGTCCTGGACCTCTGGGAACACAAGGCTACCCACTACCTGGCACTTAAAGCTGTATAAACGGAGAACACTTGTGAAAATATACTTCACTTTCTACAGCGGGGTTTAAAAAAAATACCAAAACCCGGAGATTCGAGGGTCGTAAGGTCTGCCATGAATAATGCACCGGTCGGTGATTGTGTCCTCGGGCGGAGGCTGCGGGACGAGCCCTTGCTGTGGCGTTGTGTGGAGGGGGGACCTGCGCGGCGTTTGCTGCGGGGATGGGGCACGGAGGAGATGCTCACAAAGCCGAGCACGGTGGGGCTGAGCTGCAGGGAGCCAGGGCCCCGCAGGGTGCACTGCCCGGGGAATGATGTCACTCCAATCCCTGGGAATGATGTCACTCCAATCCTGGGAATGCTGTCACTCCAAACCCTGGGAATGACGTCCCTCCCGTCCCTGTCAGTGCTGTCCCTCCCATCCCTGGCAATGATGTCCCCCCATCCTTGGAGCTGCACAGGAGCATCCAGGGAGCTGAGAGACAGCCAGGCCTTGTAGAGAGAGGGATGTGCACAGCTGGAGGTGGGTGTGCACAGCTGGAGGGGATCACAGACACTTCTGGAGTTCCCTGGGATATTCTCCATGAGAGCTGGTCCTACAGTGAAGGGACTCTCAGCATTCCAGGTACTCAGTATTCCAATACTCAGCATTGAGGGACTCTCAGCATTCCACGCTGGAGCAGGGCAGGGGATGCATTTCCCATTGTCCCTGCCGTGCCTTGGAGCAGCACTTGGGGCTGCAGGGGACTCCTGCTCGTTTTTAGGCTCTCAGGACTCTGTGCTTTGCAAGGAGGGATCAGAATGCTCAAGGCTGGCTGCTGTCACGAGTTCCAGTAACCTCGTGCTGATGGTGCTACACTCTTGGGAAGGTTTCAAGACCCATCAGCCTCTGGCACAGCTCTAAGCAGAGCTGACAGCCAGGAAGGACCAGAGCAGATCCGTCCTTGGGACCACATGGATGTGCCAGGAGGGTTCTGCTGCTTCCCCATTGCCACTGGCTGGCAGAGGAAGGGAATTGAAGCTCCTGGGCCACCCCCAGAGATCTCTGCTGCACTGTTACCATCAGGTCAGGTGCAGCTCCAGCCCCTCGTGCTCTGCCCCAGGGCAGAAGGGCTTGGAGAGGGACTGGAGAGGATTCAGCAACGTCCTCAGGGTCCCAGAGGAGCTGGAGGCAGCCGCCCTCCTGCTCATCCCCCCCTGCTCCCTTCCCTGCTGACCTGCTCTGGCTTCCCAGGGACTCTGGCTGGGCTGTCCCCGAGCCCAAGGCTGCCTCGACAGAGCCCCCACACTCGGGCAGTGGCTGTGGGGGTGTGGGGAAAGTCTCCAGGGGCTGCTGATGCCGCTTACAGGAGTTTGGGAAATATGGGAAAAACAGTGGGGTTTTTTTACCAGATGGATGCAAAAGCCTTGGCTCAGTGATCCCCTGGAAATGCAGGGTGCTAGGGAAGCTCTGTCAGGACCAGTGCAGGGTTTATCTTTGTGTCACCCTCACGTCACCTCTGTCACCTGTGGTGCCTCCTCAGTGCCCACCTGCCCCGACCCCTCTGCTGGCTGGTAGCAGGTGGCAGCAGCGTATTTACAACCAGACTGGACAGGAGCAAATTGCACTTTGTTGGCAAGGAATTGCTGCACCTCAGGTGGCCTCAGGCTGTCACCAGGCGAGGGGGGAGGTCATCCTGGGGCTGCGCTGGCTCTCACCCACCTGCACATCACTGAGAGCTCGCTGTGGGACAGAAAGGGCAGAGCTGAGTTGGGGCTGCTGTGGCAGGAGCAAGGTCAGGCTCCTGGCCACAGAGCAGCTGTGGCTGCCCCATCTCTGGAATTGTCCAAGACTAAGCAGGACACTGGGGTTTGGAGCACCCTGGGACAGTGGAAGGTGTCCCTGCCATGGCAGGGGGTGGAACACGGGGTGATCTTTAAGGTCCCTTCCAACCCAAACCATTCCATGAGCAAACACATCACTCTCCCCTGGGGCTGGTGCTCCCTCAGTGTCCCACCCTGGCCAGCTGATTTGTATGCTACAAAAATTGTAATTGTACCTTATCAGCATTAGAACAATTGCCTCTTACTCAGGTACAGCTGCTCACAAAACCCCATCCTGCTCCCAGCACTCACTCACAAATAAAACCCCACTGGAACTCCACAGGAGACACCTGCCTTGGGAAGGTTCAACTCACCTCAAACTTGCTCATGAATTCTGCAAAAATGCCAAAGAAGGCTTCAGAAGTTGTCATTTTTGAGTCTTCCCCAAAGAAGGACAACACCTTGCTGAACTCCTCCATGGCCTTGTGCTGCAGGTCGTCCAGGGAGCGCATGGCAGGCTGGGCACTCTCCAGGAAGGACTGCAGCAATTGGCTTAAGGACAAAGAGCTGCTGCATGCTGGTAGGGGTCAGGATCCCTTATCAATCCCTTATCAATCCCTTATCAATTGGCGGGGTTCCAGCCCAGCTGGCAGCAGGCAGCTGCTGCACAGGCACGTGGGGAGGTGCTGGCAGGTTCAGAAATCCCTGACAGGTCACAAGGACAGATGTCCCAGCACATTCCCACACAGGGCCACCACCAAACCTGCTCCCCATCCTGGCTGAGAGCAGGGGGAGCTTCCCAGCAGTGCTGAGAGGGTTCCAGACACAGCCCTGGCTTTGCAAGGGGCCAGCAAGGCACGGGCACGGTTTCCCTGCAGGGGGGTGTCCCCTCTCACAGAAGGATACGCTCATGACAATGGCAAACCTGTCCTCGGCAGTGGCTGGCATGCTGTGACACGCCTTCTGGATGTCACTCACCGTGCTGTGCAGGTCCTTCAGGTCGGCTGTCAGTGTCCTCTGGTTCACTGCAGGACAAGAGCAGGGTCAGCAGGGCTGGGACATGCTGGCTTTGTTCACAGCGAGGGTGAGGAGTGTGGCCGTGGGGCAGGGGGTCTGTCTGTCTGTCTGTCTGTCTGTCCACACTGCTCTGCACCAACATCAACCAGACTGTCCTGCTGGCACCAGCAGGTGCTCACACCTAGAGAAGCCAGGAGTGTCAAAAGGAGCCTGGAACAGGACAAGGAGCACACGGGACTCATGGTGATGGACAGCCAGGTACCTGGGAGGGGACAGGAGGGACACAGGACATCAGGACAAAGAGGGGGACACAGTGGCAGGAGTTTGGGCAGCTGGGAGCCTCCAGTGCAGGAAGGGTTACTTAAGAGTTAGGCCAGATCCAAATTCCAGCTGGGAAAGCTCCAGGTACAGACCTTCCTCAAGTGGAAATTTACAGCTCCAGGCCGGAATTTGCTCCTTTATTTATCCACTGTAGCACTAATTCCCAAGGGAATTGCTCACAAACAAGGGGAATGCAGCTCATGCTTTGTAGAGATTCAATGCATCATTTAAAATCACAGAATCGTGGAATCATTTAGGTTGGGAAAGCCCTCTAAGGTCATCCAGTCCAACTGTTCCCCCAGCACTGTCAAAGCCACCACTGACCCAAGCACTGTCCCCAAGTGCCACATCCCCTCAGCTTTTAAATCCCCCCAGGGATGGGGACTCCACCCCTGCCCCGGGCAGCTGTGCCAGGGCTGGGCAGCATTTCCAGGAAGGAATTTTCCCTAAAATCTCACCTAAACCTCCCCTGGCCCAGCCTCTCCTCCTGTCCCTGTTGGGAGCAGATCCCAAATCCCCCCGGCTGTCCCCTCCTGTCAGGGAGTTGTGCAGAGCCAGAAATGCCCCCTGATCCCCCTTTTCTCCAGGCTGAGCCCTTTCCCAGCTCCCTCAGAAATTCCCCAGCCCTTTCCCAGCTCTGTTCCCTTCCCTGGACACACTCCAGGCCCTCGGTGTCCTTGTGAGTGCCCAGAGCTTCCCCCAGCACTGGAGGTTCCCCAGCAGTGCCAGCGCAGGGACGGGCACTGCCCTGCTCCTGTGTCACACCTGAGCAGCCTCCTGTGACACCACCAGCACCAGAGGATGGAGAACAACTCCAGCCTGTGTGTGACTGGCTTTTATTGCAGAAAATCGAGCTGCAGGGTCCTTACTCAACGTGCCACAGCTGTGACTGAACTGTGACCCCTCCCCAAGGTGCTGCATCCCCTGCAGCAGCACCTGCACACCTGGAGGGAGACTGGGGACACCAGCTCCTGGCACTTCCATTTCCTGGGCCTCCCCTGCACTTCCAAGGTGCTTCTAAACTTGGGAATCACAGTTTAAAGCCAGAAGGGAATACCAGGGAGGGGACAGAACGTAGGCACTGCCAAGTGTGGCGGCGTGGGATGGGTGGCATCTCACTGTCACTGAGCTCGTCCCTTCCTAACGCTCCCCTCCTGCTCAGGACCATTCCTGACTTGTTGTGGCTCCCATCCTGCTCCTGCCAAGGCTGTGCAGCTCCTGGCTGAGCCCAGACTCAAACCAAACCCAGAGGGGGCACACGGGGCTTGCAGCAGCCTCGGACCCTTTACCTTTGGCAGCGAGCGGCACCGTCGGCAGATCCTTGGCAAAGCCCAGGAGCTCTGGGAAGTGTTGGCTGAGGGATTTGGCAAGAATGTGCAGGAAGGTGGATTTCCCATCGACAGTCTTGGTGGTGTTCAGCTGGAGAAAAGCAGAACAAGTGAGGACCCCCCTGCAGAGGGCTGGGGGCTCCCACACGCTCGGGGTCAGCCACTCCTGGCTCAGCCCCACGCTCCCGTGGTTAATGGTTAAACTGGACATTGAATCTCCACACACCCAGATTAGTGGTGTGGAGATGCTCCCTCCTGCAGGGCAGGGCTGTCCCCACCCCTCAGGAGTCCCACAGGACCTTCTCCCACCCACACCTGGGCAGGATTCCCAGCACTGAAACACCAAACCCACGGCAGAGTCTCTCTAAAATCCCCCTGTGGATCAACCCAGCCCCCTCCACCCTCTCTGGCACCCCAGGGGCTCTGATGGGAACAGCCTTGCTGGACACAAGGAGCTCCCAGTCTCGGTGTCCTCTGGCTCTCCTGACCTCAGTGAGGAAGTTGATTTTAAAGCCTGTTGTTTTGCTGGTCTTGGGCTGCCCGTTGTTCAGGTAATTTCCCATGGCCAGCACGAACTGCAAAGAGGAAATCAGGGAATGAAGGACTGGGGACCTGCACCCGTGTCCTCCCATCTCCTGGGACTCTGGATTTCTGTTCACCACCCATTAATGTGCAGACAAACATTATCCCCATGGATTTAAGGAATTGCTGGGGGGGTCACTGACCAGGAGCTACTAAAGACTTTCATCACTCATCTGTAAATGCCTTTGAGCACACGGCAGCCTCATTTGTCCCACCTGCCTTTTTTTTTTTTTTTTTTTTAAAGCAAAACCAAATGAATTAACAGCAATTTGGGACAGCTCATCTCAGGAGGGTCATGGAGGAACTGCAGTGGAATTTATTCTCTCTCTGCCAGGCACAGCCCATCCCAGGACCCCAAAACCCTTCCTCAGGAGGATGGGCAGTGTTGGGGTGCAGGGACCAGCCTGGAAAGCTGCTCAAATGTGGAACACACATGGGGCTGGAGCTGCCCGTGGAATGCTGAGTGCCACGGGTGACTGTTACAAGGAGAAGGGACTGCTCTGACCTCCAGGATCTTTGCCAGCTTCTTGCTGCTCTTCAGCTCTAGGGAGGCCTTGCAGATGCACTCGTAGCTGGCTTTGATCTCCTCGGTCTTCTCCTGCAGGGTGGTCTTGAAGTGCAGGCTGCGCAGGCGGATCTTGTACTCGGGTACCGACAGCATCTGGGGCAGGAGGAGAGCAGGGGGGAGAGCAGGGGGGGAGAGCAGGGGGGGAGAGCAGGGGGGGAGAGCAGGGTCAGCGTCTGCAGGAGCCACAACCCCTCCTGCACTGGGCTGGGGGTGGCTGCGAGTGCTGGGCTGGTGTGCTGCCACGGGATGGGCACTTCCACACCAACATCCACGGGTGACCTTGTCAACAGAAAATACATCAGAGCTGGGCAAAGCCACCGTCACCAGGGAACAAACATTCTAGTGGCTCTGCAGTTCTAAACCAGCCACTGGGAGCTGCCAGAGCCCTCAGGAACTGAGTATCACCAGCTGTCCCAGTGCCACCAGCTCCTCCCAACCGCCAGGTGTGACAGCGTCCTGCACACACAGCATCCCCCAGGTGTGACAGTGTCCTGCACACACAGCATCCCCCAGGTGTGACAGCGTCCTGCACACACAGCATCCCCCAGGTGTGACAGCGTCCTGCCGGCAGGGACAGGGCACACACAGCCCCGCTCCCAGAGCATCCCCTGCCCGGTACCTGCAGCACGAACTGGTCGGGCTCGCTCAGCTTGCCCGGGTTCTCCTTGTAGCTCTGGAAGCGCTGCACCTCCTCCCCGTCCGGGGCGTAGAGCAGGAGCTGCTTGATGTGGGACGGCTCCAGGCGATCCGTCTCCATCGTCATCAGGATCTGCCGCAGCTCCATGTGCGACAGCTTCAGGTGTGCGATCAGGATGGCTGGGAGGGAGGGAGGGACGTCAGTGTCACCCGGGAGAAAGGAGGGGACAGCACAGGGACAGCACGGGGACATCAATCTCCCCACGGAGTGAGGTTTGTGTCATGCCCAGGCAGGCACAGCCCTGAACAGGGAGGGATTTCTCATCCCTGGGACCCTGCAGAGGTGGCTCTGGTCCTGCAGCCCCCAGGGCACTGCCCTGGGACCAGCCCTGCTCCCACATCCATCCCCCAGAGCCAGGGAGGAATCCCCGAGGGTCCCACCGAGCCCTCCCACCCTCCTCCCAACCAGAATCCCGTTCTGGAGCAGCAGCACTGCCCTGCCCCACTCTGCCCCTCCCCAGGACACTGAGGCACTGCCCATCTCCATCCTTCCCCAAAAAGTTCCCTCCTTCCCCCTGCCCGGGGCTGAACGCGGGCTGGGCTGCAGGAAAAGCCAATCCCAGCTGAGCTGCGCCCATGGGATTGAGCTCGTGTTGCTTCCCTTTACCTTTCCAGTTCTCTACATCCCACCTGGGGGCCCCTTTTGGGGGTACCTTCACTTACATGTGTTGTAGGCCTTTTTGTGGGACAAAATTTCAACCACGTCTTTCTTTTTAAAGTTTTCAGGCATGAGAGTTGGCTCTGGAAGAGAAACTGAAAGATTTAATCACGGGTAAGGATGGGCTCAAGTGGCTCCAGTGGGAAGAAAATTGTCCTGCAAACAGTGAAACCATGAATGAAAGAGAGGAGAAGGGATGCTTTGCACACAGCAATGGCTCCAGGAATCCTTGAATTCTGCGATTCAAAGATCTCCCCAGTGGAGGACTCAGTTGGAGCTGAAAAAGGTAAAACGAGAGGTGAAACACACAGAAAATCCCAGACTGCTCAGAAACATCCTAGAAACAGCGTTCCCTGAGATGAGTCCCATTTCATCCCACTGCCAGCTGGGCATCGTGCAGGAGAGCTCAGACATCCCAGGGTTTTACTGGAATGCCTCCCACCAGGACCACCAGCACTCCACACTCCCAGCCTGGCCCCTGCTCTGGGTTTGTGGCACCCAAAAACTCCTCAGGGTGGGAAATGCCAGCTGAAGAGCTATGGGGGCTGCACAGCACAGAGCTCCAGACCCATCACAGCTCTTGGGGGACATCCACTGATTCTTTGTATAAAAAAAGCAAAGTGCTGCTGGGGATGATTTCTTTGGACACGGGAATGTTTTCATGGCTTTTTCAGCATTTCCAAAGTTCTCAAGCACTTGGAGCTGCAATTGCTGAAAGCCTCCAGCCGGGTTTCAGTGCCCAATGAAATGTGGAGAGAAAACAGATCATGGCAGCAGAGATAATTAAGGGAGATAATGAAACCATCTCCACCTTAATGATCCACCAGCCACAAAATCCTGAGGATGAACAAATCCATGCCACGGGTGATGTCACAGACGGGCACTGCCTTGCTGCCCATCGAGCCCCAGTTCCTCCCAGTTCCTCCCAGCTGGTACCAGAACTTATTTTGGAGCTCAGTACTTACTCGTGGGCTTCTGAGTCCCAAAGTGCAGCTCCAGGTCGAGGTATTTGACCATGTCACTCAGCTTGTCGTAATCCGAGTCTTCCCCGAGCTGTGGGGAGGAGGAGTCAGGACTGTGCTGGCACAGGGGACAGCCCCACGGTGCCCACCTGGGCTGGCACAGGGGACAGCCCCACGGTGCCCACCTGGGCTGGCACATTCCCTGTCCCCACACTAAGCTCCGTGTCCCCAAAAGAAACCAGGACAGGCTGGTGGCACCATCCTGTGACTGCCCTGCAGACTCAGCTCCTGACACAGCTGAAATCCTACAGATTCTGTCTCCACTTGCTCCTTAGACATGATCAAGGGATACTGAAGGATAAAATGGGAATTCCAGGAGCTTCAGGAATTTTTCTCCATACAGAAAAAAATCACTGTGAAGAAGCATCTTTGCTGGAGTGTTGAGGAGAGGGACCTGAAGGATTTCAAGTGTCTGTGGGACTGGAAGATGATGCCACAGCTCCCCTCTGGCTGCTCAGGGCACGGGGAATATGGATGGGGAATATGGATGGGGAATATGGATGGGGAATATGGATGGGGAATATGGCATGTCCTGAACCCCAGCAGAGACTGGGAGTTCAACCCCAAGAAGGGACTGGATCCACCCCAGAGTTCTGCACCATTTCATGTCCACGATGCCAAAGGATTGTCATGTCTTGTCTCACCCCTCAGCTCTGCTGTCCCCTGCACTGTCCTGCCCTGCTCAGGGCTCTCCCATCACTCTGCTCCATCCATCCTCATCCTTTCCCACTGTTAAAATCCCTCACAGCTCCTGGCTGTGGCAACCCCTCAGGTTAGGGAAGTGCTTCCCAGGACGCTGGAGACAAAAATCAGCATCTCAGATGATTTCCAGGGCCTCGCCCCACCCCAGCATCGCTTTCCAAACAACTGGAAGGATGAAATGAAGCCCTGCAGAGCCTCGGCACACTCCTCAGGGGGCGGCTGGGACCCCCACGCCTCACCCCACTGCCCTGCCCCGGGCCATACCTGTCCCCAGATGGTCCCCTCCGAGTTCTCCACCTGCTCCCAGCGCAGCCTCTTGACGCTCATGTGGTTGGAGTCGCTCCTGCGGTGCAGCAGCCCCCGGTGCAGGGGGGGAGCGCAGGGCACGGGGGGCGGCGGGGGCGGCGGCGGGGGGGGCGGGATGGGGTGCAGGTGGCTCACCAGGGACTTGGGGGCGGCTGCCACGCTGGCCTTGGTGGCCTCTGCCTTGGTAGGGCCGGTCTGGGGGTCGTGGAACTGCAGGGGGGGCGGTGGGGGTGGGGGGCTGAGGGGAGGAGGGGGGATGTGGTCCGAGAGCGTGGAGTAGGTCAGGGAGCTGCCCTCGTCACTGCTGCTGATGTACTCGCTGCTGCTGACATCGTTGGTGACATAGCTGCCCTGGTCATCCTGGAAACTCATCTGGGTGGGCACAGAGCACAGGCTGAAGGTGGCACCTCATCCTACACCCACCATGGACCATCGCTGTGTCCTGTCCCTCCCTGTCACCTGCAGAGCACCACCAGTGTCCCCAGAGCCTCAGCACGTGTCCCCAGAGGCCAACCAGTGTCACCAGAGCCCAACCAGTGTCACCAGAGCCCCAGAATGTGCCCCCTGACCTCCAGCACGTGTCCCATGAGCCCAACCAGTGCCCCCAGAGCTCCCCCAGTGTCCCCAGAGCCCAGCATGTGTCCCTGACCCCAGCACGTGTCCCCTGAGCCCAACCAGTGTCTCTGACCCCAACACATGTCCCCAGAGCTCCCCCAGTGTCCCCAGAGCCCAGCATGTGTCCCTGACCCCAACATGTGTCCCCTGAGCCCCAGCACGTCCCCAGAGCCCAGCATGTGTCCCTGACCCCAACACGTGTCACCAGAGCTCAACCAGTGTCACCAGAGCCCCAGAATGTGTCCCATGAGCCCCTGCACGTGTCCCACGAGTTCCACCAGTGTCCCCTGAGCCCAACCAGTGCCCCCAGGGCTCCCCCAGTGTCCCCTGACCCCCTGCACGTGTCCCATGAGTTCCACCAGTGTCCCCTGTGCCCAACCAGTGTCCCATGACCCCCAGCACGTCCCCAGAGCCCAACCAGTGTCCCCTGACCCCCTGCACGTGTCCCGGGGCGCTCAGGACGACGCTGTGAGCCGCCCACGCCGCGCTCACCTCCTCGTAGTCGTTCTCAGGGGTGAGGAAATCATCCCCGATGGTGACACGGTGTCCCAGCTGCTCGCTGAGCGCGTCCAGGAAGCGATCGGTGTCACGGCTGCGCGGGGGCCTGGAGAACGTGAACAGCTTCTTCCGTCGCGACAGCGGCGAGTACCGGCCGTGCTTGGGCGACGGCGCGGGGCTGCTGTCCAGGCTGACGTAGGGGTTGGACTCGGTGCTGCACGGGGAGGCCACGCTGCTGTGCAGGCGGTAGTAGCACGGCTGGGTCACCAGCGGCTCGCTCGGCCACGCCAGCCCCGGCTTGCGGCCACCTGCGGGATAGAGGCCAGGGGAGGGGGGTGGGTGTCCTGAAGGGCCTGGCCATGGGGAGTGTGAGGAAGAGGAGATGAAGGAAGAGATGGAGGAGGAGATGGACATGGAAAAGGAGATGGACATGGACATGGAAAAGGAGATGGACATGATGGATGGAGGAGGAGAAGGACATGGACCTGATGGACATGGACAAGGAGATGGACATGATAGACATGGAGAAGGATAAGGAGATGGACAAGGAGATGCAGAAGGACATGGACATGATGGATGGAGAAGGACATGGACATGAAGAAGGACAAGGACATGGAGAAGGATATGATGGACATGGAGAAGGACATGGACAAGGACAAGGAGATGGACAAGGAGATGGACATGATGGATGAAGAAGAGAAGGACAAGGAGATGGACAAGGAGATGCAGAAGGACATGGACATGATGGACATGGAGAAGGAGATGGGTGAAGAAGAGAAGGACAAGGAGATGGACAAGGAGATGCAGAAGGACATGGACATGATGGACATGGAGAAGGAGATGGGTGAAGAAGAGAAGGACAAGGAGAGGCTGCAGTGCACAGCAGCTCATGGGATCCCATGGGATGCACCATCCCACCCATGGCACTGCCCTCCAGCATTGCTTCCATACAAAATGGCACCAAGAGGACCTTGGCTTCTCCTCCACCTGCCTGGCCAGCACCACCCACCCTCACCTGCCCCCAGGAGGTACCTGCAGCGTGGGGCAGCTCTGGGGGTGATGTCCTGTGCAGGGCAGCATTGCCCATCTTGCCAGCCAAGCCCCCGATCAGGCGATTCTCCAGCTCTGCGTACACTGCTGACATCTGGGGAAGGACAGAGAGCTGCTGCCATGCCCAAACCAACCCCCTCTGGGGGCTTGGGGACCTCCAGAGACCTGCCATGTGCTGGGGACAGGACAGTCCCCACAGACCAGGCTGACCAGAGCAGCTGTGGCTGCCCCTGGATCCCTGGAAGTGTCCAAGGCCAAGGTTGGACAGGGCTTGGAGCAGCCTGGGACAGTGGAAGGTGTCCCTGCCGTGGCAAGGGTGGCACTGGATGGGCTTTAAGGTCCTTCCAACCCAAACCATTCTGGGACTCTCTGGCCCACCAGTACCTGTCTCTTACTCTTTAAAGGGGGGCTTCACCCCAGCCCAGGCTACTCTGCCTTGTCTGAGCCCCCCTCTCACTGATGAGGCTGCAGGAGGACGCTGGCAGACATCAGCCTCATTAAAGGTGACTAATTGCCCAGGGAGGTGACCTCAGGGAGGGGCTCAGGGGACACCATCAGCCCCCTGCAGGTATTGACCCACAGACACATCAGTGCCTTTTTCCTGCTGCCCTGTGTTCAGAGCAAAGGAATCAAACTGCCTCCCTGTGGACACACCACCCCCCACCCTGCCAGAGGTGTCCCCTGCCCTGTCACACCATTTTGGGGTTGGGTGTCTCCGGGAGGGACGTGCCATCACCAGCCTGCCTCTCTCCAGGGATCAGGCGAACGGGGACCTCCACGGTGTCACTGCCTGCAGGAGGGAGGGACAAACCAGTGACTCCTCTGTGCCCCCAGCCCCCCTGTCTCCTGCTGGGACCCAGAGTGACCTCCCTGCCCCAGCTCCCAGCTCTGGGGGTCCCGAGGGAGCAGTGTAGGATGGGTTTAAGGTCAGCACCACAGTTCCAAGCTGCTCCACTCTTCCCTCAGGGCAGTTGAGGACAGGGCTGCTCCCCACAGCTGGCCAACATCTGCCCAGACACAGCTCCCCTCCAGCTGTTGGCTGCTCTCTGTGCTCTAATCCCCACCAGAAAAGCTCCTCAGAGCCAGGTTAGAGGATCTTCCCCCTGGGAAATGTCTCAGACCCCTGTGACAGCTGAGGAGCACCACATGCCCAGGAGGGGCTTAGGGAGGTCATGGGGAGGTCGTGGTCAGGAGCACAGGAGTGAGGGAACAGGCAGGTCTGTGTCCCCTTGTGCCACAGGTGGGGTTTGGCAAGAGTCCCAAAGTGGCCCTGAACCCTGATCTCCTTCCTCACATGGATTTCACAAATGTGGATTTCCCTGTTAATTTGATGGAATCTGAGAATGTTCAGAGGGAAGCCATAAATTTGGCCCCCCTGCAAAAGGGAGGGCCCAGACCAGCAGGACCAGTTCACATCTGAGTATGGAAGGGGTTGGAAACCACATTCAGCTTGATGATCAAATGGCCTCTTATTGAACTGGTTCTGTCACTGTGGAATCGCTGTCCCTGGAGGTGTCCAAGGCACCCCTGGGGGTGGCACTCAGTGCTCTGGTGGGGATCACTCACAGGTTGGACTCGATGATCCTGGAGGGCTTTTCCAGCCTCACTGATTCTGTGATTCTATTTCTGACAACACAGATTTCCAGCCGTGCCTCAGTGCTGGCTCTACTCCGACCTCCACCTTTCCCCATCATTCATACTTAGGAACAGGTCAGGAATTTGGCTTGGGGCACCACAGGAACAACCCCCAGCCCCCAACCACCCACCTGCTGCCCCCTCCTCGGGGCGGGGGGTCCGGAGGCTGCCCCGGCACAGGGAGGCTCCTCGGACGGAGCTGCGGTACCGATCCTCAGCCTCTGCCTCGGCTGCAGCAGGAAACACCCGGGTGAGGCAGGCACAGCCCGACCCCACAGCTCCCCACCCTCCTCAGGCACCCCCAGAGCCCCCCAGGGCTCCCCAGGCCCGTGGGATTCACAGCTGCCATTCCCAGGTATGGCATCCCCAGGTATGGCATCCCCAGGGAGCTGAGCAGGTTCCAGGTGGGCAGGGATGGATGCACAGACATTGCACATCCAGTCCAGTTTTTCCAGCAGGATTGGCATCCACCAGCTCATTGCCCACATGAAACTCCAGCCCTGAGCTGGGCCGGTCCCAGTAAACCCTTCCTGCCCTCAAGGGAAAAGAAGGAAGTGGGGCCAGCCCTGGAATGGTGCCTGGAAGGAGCACATGGTCCATGCATCGTCCATGTGCAGCTCAGAGAGGCTCAGGCTCAGAGCAGGATGGAGGGAACAGAGATATCTCTGAGGTCCCTGACAGACAGCACTGGGACATGGGAGATTCTTGTCTTGAGTTTGGAAGCCCAGAGGAAGGACCAGCCCAAACCCAGAGATCTCTGGCCATGGTACTCCCAGGCACAGACACCCAGAATGGACCAGAACAACCAAAACTGGTCATGCCCCGTTCACCTGAGACACTGAGAGGAGCCAGGGACCAGCCTGGGACAGGGAGATTTGCTCCTGTGCTTCCCTCCTGCCCCGGCTGGGGATCCCTGCTCTGCACTCCTGGAATGAGCTTAGGTTATACACTCATTACAGTGAATTCTTGGGATTGCACAGCCCATGGCCGAGCTGTGATTCTGCACACACAGAGCAGAGGTGGCTGAGTGCAAATCCAGAACAGATCCAGTGTGCATGGAGCACAGGATCCCATGCATGACAGGACCTGGAGCTGTTCCTGTTTTCTGCTAAAATCACTGCTGTTCCTCCAAAAGCCTCTCTTCAAGCAACACTTCTTTTTTACCTTTGCTGAGTTGAAAATTAACACATTAAATTAAAATTAACACATCTGTGTGAGTAGCTGAGAATAGGAAAATTGGAAGCAATTAAGAGCACAAACAGACAGATTAGGACATTTCGCTTCAAACCTGCTCTCCCCAATCCATCTGTGCTGCCACAGAACCAGGTGAGGGTGATGGTGAGGGGGATCCCTGACTGCCTTTGTGGTTTTTTGGGAGAGCAGCAGCACCTCTTCCAACCATGGATGTTTTTGTGACATCCCAAGTGATGCTGTGTCACCCTTATTTTACCTCTCTCATCTGAACGCTGCCCTTAAATCAACTCTTTCCTTCCTTTCCTCACCTCTAACAACCTGAGCAGCTTCTGAAAACCTTTCCTCCCAGAGTCACCATCTCAGGTACCAGCTCTCCTCTCAATGCAGTTCCATCCCAAAACTACCCCAGCACAATGGGCTGAGCTCCCAGCACCCATCAGGACACAAAAAGTGTCCATCCTGGAGCTCAGGGACTTGCTCCTCTCACCTGCCAAGGCCTTGTACCCCAGAAACCTGTCAATCTTTTGCTGGCAGTGCTCCTGCTCCTCGTAGGTCAGCAGCTGGTAGATAAACTGCCAGAGGACTTGCTTGGCTGGTGTGTCCAGCACCGGGTACACATCCACAATGAGAGTGTCAATGTTCCTGCAAAACAGGAGGAGAGGGCTGGGCAGTGAGAGCATCCCTCCAGCACAGCCCCTCCTCTTCCTCCTCCTCCTCTGGCATGGACTGAATCCGTCACTGCAGAGGTGCAAATCCACGTGGATGTGACACTTGGGGACATGGTCAGTGGTGGCCTCAGCAGTGCTGGGGGAATGGTTGGACTCAGTGCTCTCAGAGGACTTTTCCAGCCTAATGGATTCCAGGATTTTATGAGTAAGAGGGGTGAGGGAGCACCGGAAAGCAGAGAGAAGAAAAGATTTGAATTTTAGCCAGCTGCAGGAAATCAGGCTGAGGGAGAAATGGACTGGGCTGGCAGCTCCTGGGGTCAAAGGCTCCATCTGATTTTGGTGTGTAGAGGGGAGAAAGGACTGTTGGGAATAATCCCATCCCATGAGGGGAGAACAGCCTGGCAGGATGAAATTCTACCCTGGCACAGGGTGCTCAGAGCAGCTGTGGCTGCCCCTGGATCCCTGGAAGTGTCCAAGGCCAGGCTGGACAGGGCTTGGAACAGCCTGGGACAGTGGAAGGTGCCATGGCAGGGGTGGAACAAGATGTTCTTTAAGGTCCCTTCTAACCCAAATCCTTCCATGATTCTGATAAAACACTGCTGGAAGAACAAGCAAGGGCAGGAAAGGAGGTCACTGATGACATCTGGAGTGTGCCAGGGGATGTGGTTGGATCCCTGCACAGGACAGGGATGTGCTCCATGGCAGGATGAGGGCTCTGCCAGCCACTGCCATTCCTGTGCAGCCACCAAGGGATGCTGCAGCCAAGATTGTGGGAAGAGTGAGGAGACAAGGATGGAGCACAGAGAGATTTACTGAGAGACGTGGAACGGGACCTGCAGCTGTCAGAGGCAGCAAGACAGCCTGCACTGGGGGAAAAGGGATAAGAGGTGACCAAATTAACCTGAAGGAACCAAAAACTGAGGGCTCTGCCCTGTCCCAAGGCAGGACACAGACTGAGAAGAGTTTGTGCACAGGGAACACCGAGCTGGGGAATGTGGAGAGCACAGGGACAGCAGAGATGTGTGTGACAGCGTCCCTGCCCAGCCTGACACTGACCCTGGCACGGGCACTGCTCCAGGCCAGGCCCCAGTGGGAGAGAGGAGCTGGCACCTGCAGGAGTTACCGATGTTGGAAGAAGCCCTCCAGAGCCTTGCAGACGCTGAAACGCTCGGGCGGGGTCAGCAGATGTTCCAGCTGCTGCGTGAACGTCCTTCCTTGGATCTTGATGCTAGAGGGGAGAATCTCTGCAACCCACTGCAGGGAGGTGAGGGCTGAGGAGCTGCTCGGGGACTCAGCAGAGTCAGAGTCTGCAAAAAAAATATTCCATCTTTCCTTGGTTTCTTTTGAGGGCAGTGGAGCAGTTTGAGTGCCACTGGCTGTGTGCCTTGAAGTAGGTCAGGTGGGATGGGGTTTGGAAGAGCCTGGTGTGGTGGCAGGTATCCCTGCCCAAGGCAGAGGGGTGAAATGAGATCAACTTTGAGGTCTCTCACAATCCAAACCTTTCCAGGCTGCTGAGGCTCTGTGCAGCACGGAGCTGCTGGGGTTGGTCTGAGTTCACCTGCAAACGAGTTGGGACATCCCAGGGTTTCTAATGTGGGGCTGAGGGGAATCCAGTGCTGCTCCAGAGGGAAGAGCCAGTCCCTGACTCCCAGATCTGAGCATTTGGGAGCAGCACCCCAAAAACAGAGGGGCCCTGCAGCCTCCACAGAGCTCGGGGAGCACAGCAAGGAGCACACTGTGCCCTGGGTCCTGCCCTCCACAGGCACCCTCAGCTCTCGTCCCCAGCAGCACCATCAATTATTGATTCCTGCAGCACGACACCAACCCTGCACAGCCCCTGGAGCTGCAGGATTTGCGCAGCCACCATGGATGCACGGGCTTGGATTACTGCAGACAAGGACAGGCACACACTGCACGGGAAGGACATCGGCAAGGGACACCAAGGACAGCCACACAGCGGGATGAGCCCTCCTGGAGAGCAGCCAAGCCTGGGATCCAGCCTGATCCCACAAAGCAAAGGGGTCCCGTGCCCTGGGGAGAGGAGCATCATCCCCCCCAGGCAGCGCCTTCAACCTGCTCAGCCCACCGAGGATCAATTCCCTCCTGCGCCAGCAATTCGGGAGCTGGGCTGGGGTCCCCTGCTCTCCAGACCCTCCTCCCTGCACTCTTACCGTTGGAGAAGTTGACGATGCCCTCTTCCACCACCAAGGTGGGCATGGCCCCGCTGCCCTGCAGCATCGACACCACCTTGTCGTGGGAGCAGTTCCTGCGGGCACAGGGCAGCAGTGAGGACACAGAGCTGCTGCTGCTGCCTTCGTTCGTCTTGGAAAAGCCTCCTCGTGCTGCTCAGAGCCTGAGGGGTTCGGGCCCCACTGTGATTTCCCTGCATTCTCTCCCTCTTCGCTTGGTTTTTCCCTGTGCTGCACTGGGAGGAGCCTGGATGCTGCCCCATGAGTTATTCCCCACCAAGGAATAACCATGGGAATACCTGTGGGGCACCCTGAGCAGTGCCACGGCACAGGAAGGCAGATTTAAGCTACACCCGGACCCAGAAAATGATTTTTTTCCTTTAAATGACACAGCGCTGCAGGTCTGTCCTCACCTGCCCTAATTCTGCACGAAAAGAAAATGCAAGGTGAATATAAAATGTAATTTTGTAGGTGAAAAAATCTTGGGATGCCCTTGGGGAAGGGTAGGGGCTAGACTGGGACAATGCCTGCCAAAAACACGGCTCAGAGGACAATCCTCAACCCGGTCTCTTTTTTCTGGCAGTGCTGCATCAGCCAACAGTTCGCTGGATCAGCTGAAACGTGAGAACCTGAGCCCTGGCAGAAGCAGCATCAGTTTAACCTTTAAATATTCATCACTCCCTCTTGTCCTGCAGCCTCTCCAACCCTTTGCTCTTGGCTTTTATGCAGAAAGACACACCCGAGGACAGGGGGGCTGCTGCCCTGCACAAGTCCCTCTGGTCCCATTGCTTTGGTGCACAAACATTACACAGAATTAATTTCTGGGTACAAATGGGATTCCCACGTGGATTTAAGTTTATGATCCCGTTGTGGGAGTGATTCGTGGGCTGGATGCTGCTCCCAAAAGCAGAACCTGGGTGTTTAACACACACAGATTAACTCAGAGTGGCTGAAATTGAGGTCTGGGGGCAGGCTGAATCAGAACACAGGTTACAGAAACTGTCCTGCACACAGAACTCAGTGGAGGAGCACGGGGGGAGAAAATGCTCCTCTTAGAGCCAGATTTTGTCCAGGAGCACTAAAGGAGCTGTCCCCAGCTGTCCCCACAGGACAAACCCCTGTGCACGGCAGCACATGGGGACCAGCAGCTCCCATTTCCCTTGCCCAGGAGTGACCACGGCGAGTGCTCAGCCCCTGGCCCAGCCCTGGGTGCCCTGCACAGCTCCTACCTCATGTCCAGGCCGTTGAGGAACAGGATCCTGTCTCCAGCTTTGAGGGCAGCCTTCTCTGCTGGGCTCCCTAAGGACAAAGGGGCTTCAGCTGCAGCACCCATGGGTGGGATGGGGATCCAGGGACACCCCCAGGCACGGCACCCCCTGCACCTGGCTCAGCTGGGACTGCTCACCCAGCTGGGTGCAGCACCCAGCCCGCACTGGGAACGCTGGTGGCACTTCAGGATTGTCACTGAACACATTTCCCACTTCTCTAAACAAGGAGTGGATAAATCCCGTCTAAATGGCACTGAAAATGCTCGTTATTGCACTGGAACAACTCCAGCACTGAGCCTTGGAAAAGTCCCTTTTGCTCTTTTTTAGCAAACAGCACTTAAGATTTCAAGTTCAGACCAGAGATCAGTAAGTGATGCCCCAAATCTCGTGTTCTTACCTGGCAGGACAGACTCGATCCACACTGGGGCATGGCCACGGAGTGTGAAGCCAAAGCTCCTGTTGCCTTTATAAACTCGCACAGTTCTGTGGGCGAGAAAGGCAAACAGGACATCAGAGAACAAGACCCAGCCCTTGTTTCCTTCCCCAGCCCCTCCACAGCCCTGTTAGCCCAGGTTCTCCTGAGTGCTCAAGTCCCCAACGCTCCCAATGTCCCCACAAGGTTCCCTTTGATACCAAAGTATCTTTCAAATGTGGTTTTAAAGTGGAATTATGGGATAAATATATAGATTTAGGAAAAAAAATATATATATGTGTGTGTGTGTGTGTATAAAAGCTAAAAATCGTCTGGTTCCAACCCCCATGGCAGGGAGTTGGAACTGGATGATCTTTAAGGGATCTTACAACCCAAACCAGTCTGTGATTCTTTATTACAGAGAATTAGAGAGACAATGTGGTTCAGGGAGCAAAGGTCTCATAGGCTGGTGAGAGAGGAATTCAATTCCTCTAGGAAAGTTTGGAAGGAGCAATAGGAAATCTCCCTGCTGGGAGGCTGATTGGAGCTGGGAGTTGTTCCCCAGGGAGCTGGGGAGAGGCAGCATCACCGACATCATTTCCAACCAGCAGGATCCTGTGCTGGGAGTGGATTTTGGACAAGTCAAAGGGAAGATCAGCCTGGCAGGGAGGTGACAGGAGCTGGACACCCTGGATTCCCCAAGCCCTGCTCTCCTGTTAGCTGGGTCAGGATCTGCAGCCTGCAGGGCAGAGCTGCTGTGGTGTGGCCATCTGGGCATGGGAAGTGGGTTAATCCCTGTGCTCCAGGGATTGTCTGTCCTTCCTCCACAGCCTCACACTCAGACACCTGCTGGGCCAGGCCAGGGCCAGGCATGGACTCGAAAAACCAGGGAATCTTATGGTTGGAAAAGAACTTTAAAATTATGAAATCCAACTGTCAACCCTGTGTTCACCACTGACCAAATCCTCCAGTGCCACATTCACCATTTCCTCAACACTTCCAGGATTTGGGACCCCACCACTGTCCTGGCAGCCTGTGACAATGCATTACAAGCCTTGCTGTGAAGGAATTTTCCCTGGAATCCAAACTAAACCTCCCCTGCTGCAACTTGAGGCGATTTCCTCTCATCCTGTCACTTGTTACCTGGAGAAAGAGACCAAGCTCAGCCTGGCTCCAGCCTCCTTTCACTCAGCTCTGTGCCCAGGTACCCAAATCCTGTTGGCACAATCGGGTACCCCGAATCCAGCTGGCACAATCAGGTACCCCGAATCCTGCCGGCACAGCCTGCATGCCACCCAGCAAGGAGCAGACATCCCCTCCCAACCTACAAGTGCCACCTCAGCTCCTCACCCAGCTCGTCCCAGCCCTGCTGAGCTGAGGGGACACAGAGGGTGCCCCGGAGCTGGGACAAGGGACACAAAATTGCCCGACATTCCAGAGGGAGAGGTCTTTGTTCATCCAGCTCCCAGGCGAGTTTCACACCGAACGCTCCTCCCTTCCCCTGGCACCCGTCCCACATTCCATCCCATCCCATCCCATCCCACCCAAACCCGGGTCCCAGCAGAGCTGTTACCTGCGGGCAGCCCCCGAGGCCACATTGCTGGTGATGAGCGAGGTGGTTTTGCGCAGGCTCTTGCTGAGCTCCTCGTGGCTGCGGGGCACGGAGCTGGCACGGGTGGACACGAGCAGCCGCTCCTGGTGGTCCTCGCTGCGGCTGCGGCGCAGGCGATTGCTGTGCTCGCTCTTGGAGCGGCACAGTTTGCTGATGAGGCTCTGCGACACCACCTCGTCAAAGCGCTGCCGGTGCTTCTTGGGGATGAAAATCCTGGGGAAATGAGGCGAAGGAGGAGAGTGAGGAGAGGGGCCGGGGCAGCTGTGGCACAGAGATGGGCGTCCATGGAAGGGAAAGGTCTGAACACCTCGTGTGTGCTTGGCCTCAGTCCTTGCAGGGCTGTGAATGCCGGGGCTGGGGACACCGGGGGTACTGGGGACACCCGGGGGTGCTGGGGACACCGAGGACACCACCTGCATCCCTTCTCCCATCCCATGCAGAGCTCTGTTGGAGCAATGATGTCGGACCCTTCCTCCAGACCCGTTTCTTCCCCAGCACCTTCTGGGACCCCCAAAACGTCGCCCCCCAGACTCTGCTCTCCTGGGCTCCAGCCTTGAATATTGCCAAATTCCAGCTCCCTCCACTGCCAGGCAGGAGCCCGGTGCCCCTTGGGGGATGATGGTGCTGCAGGGACGGGGACAGTGATGCTGCAGGTGAGGGGACACCTCTGGGAACTCTGTTTTGGGTCACCTTCCCTCTGCCTGGCAGGAGCAGCCGAGTGGCCTCTGTGCCCCTGCAAGGATCCCCAGGACACAGAGGATGCACGGGGAGGGCACAGCAGGATCCCAGGAGGGAGGGAGGGAGGAGGCACCGCTCCGACCTGGGCCGGGGTGAGCTCCACAACCCTGGGACACATTTGATCTCTCCCCTTTTCCTTCTGCCATCACAGCAGCCAGACCCCAACACCTGCTCACCTTCCCCTACCCTCTGCTCGCACATTTAGGGGTTTCTGGAGGAGCTGTGATCTCCGAGTGTTTCTATAGCAACTCCTGCAGCTGCAGCCGCTCTTACACAAAACCATCCCGTGGGGCTCGGCAGCGCAGCTTCGTTAGCGCCCGGCACCTCGCGGGGTGTGAGAACACAGCTCGGTGTTAGCACAGCCCCGAGGGCTGTGAGCACACCCCCGGCTGCCTGGGGACCACGTGTCCCACCGCAGCAGGAACTGGGCCAAACTGGTGCCAGAGGACCCGGAGGAAGCTGCTCCGAGGGGTGCGATACAACTGGGGCTGGCAGGGGATCCCACAGGGCTCCCTCGGGCAGCTTCACCGAGGGAACACAAAAACCTGCGTGGAGACACAGGAGGAGAAGCTTCAAATCCCAAATCTACCGGGACCAGGACATCTTCATTTCCCCCAGCCAAAGGCAGAACTCAAAACAAGAGCTGGTGCAGGAGGAGACAAACCACAAGCCACCCGAGGCTGGCAGATGCTCACGCAGAGCATCTGGTGACAATTTAAAATAAGAAAGGCATTGGTGCAATTCACAGGCGATTCGTGATTAAGCAGCAACCAGAAAAGAGTGAAACTGTGCTAATAAATAGTTCACCCTGTGAGACAGGGGAGGATGTGGGTCCCCCAAGCCTCTGCCCCCGGCTGGGCACCCACCAGGGAGAAGTCCGTGTTCCTCACAGGCAAAATGAGCACAATCCCATTTAATTGGCCAAATTACATCGGTCCTGCTCGTTCCAGCAGAGCTGTCCCACTTTGCACGAGCTTCACCACTGGGCTGAGTGCTCAGCTCCAGCCCGGGCCCAGGACCCAGCACTGGCACTGCCCTGGGACTGGCTCAGTGCTGGAGCACAGCAGTGCCCAGATAGGAGAGATCTGCCTGCTACAAACAATCCCACCAAAGCAGCTGCCGTGGCTGTTCCTGCAGTGCCCTGCAGTCCCACAGGATAAACCTGCCTTGTCCCTTGGCATGGCACCAAGGAGCAGCACCCAGCTGGGGCTTCCCTCTCCCAGCAAATCCCACTGGGATTCACAGAGCACGGATGTGCCCACCCCGTCTGTGGGGACCAAGCAGGAGCAGGCTCAAACAGTGCTGGCCTTCAGCCTCCTCTCCCTCCTCCTCCTCGGGTGCTCCAGGTCAGCCCTAGCTCTGTTTCCTGTTGGAGAGGGGATGGGAGAGGCTCCCCCATCCCTGAGTCCTGTGCCCGCTGCCATGCCCGGTGCCTCTGAGCCCCAGGGCACCAGCTCTGGGTGTCCCCTCCTCTGCAGCAGCTCCTGCACTCACTCGGGAGAACTCAGCCTGCTCCAGGACATGGATGTGAACTCAGGCCATTTTCCAGGCCGGGAAGGCTCCCAGATGCTCCAGGCTGCTTCACCTTCATCCCAACCCCAAAGCAGCCCGGCCAGGATGGTGGCACAGTGCCACTGTGCCCATTCCCTGCCCTCAGGTCCTGCTCGGGGCTCCCTTTGGCGTTTGGCACCTCTCAGCCTGTGCCACGCTGCCATTCCACAGCTCCCAGGTGGGTCAGTGCCCACCCTGCTCTGCGCAGACAGCCCCGTTCCTGCAGCCCACCCTGGCTGGGAGCCGCCCCCCTATTTCCCAGCCCTGTCCCACATGCACACGTCCTTCCAGGGGCACCGAGCTCCCCCGGACAGTCCCACCCCGGACGGGGCTCGGCGGGACAGGACGTGTCCCCTCGGGAGGGCAGCAGGGTGGGGGAAGCTGCCGCAAGTTTGCTCAGCCAGGGGAGCGAGGGGACACCGGGCCTCGCTCCATCACATCCCCAGCCCCACATCCTCATCCCCTCCGGGCTGGCCTCCAGTCCCGGACACAAAGCAGCCCCGGACGGGCTCTTCCCACCGCTCCCCACCCCAATTCCCCATCCGAGCTTCGCCCGACTCCCGCAGCAGCCGGTGCCGCGGTGGGCACGGGGCAGTGGCAGGGCTGTCCCGGGGACACAACAGGGTCCCCACAGCCCCCAGAAGCAGCAGAGCCATCCCAGGGATGCCCATGGGGCACAAGGCTCTGCCAGCACCCCCACGGGCGGGCACCCGCGGGACAGCGGAGCGAGGGGACACGTACCGAAAATGCCGGGAGAAACTCCGGTCCTTTCCCATTTGTTCAGGGTGCGGCGGGAACAAAAGGGAGATGCTTCAGATCCTCATGCAGCTGAGCCCCAGGCTCGGCTCACGCCCACGACAGCCCGAGCGCCAGCCGGTGCCGCCCCGCGTGTGGCACCCCCGCCGTGCCCGGGCACCGCGGCCAGACCGGCCCGAGCTCCGGTACCGGCACCGGCACCTGGCTCAGCCCCTCGGGCCGGCCTCCACCACTCTGCCAGCCCCAGCTGCAGCTTCAGCATCGGCCGAGAGCTCCAGCGCCAGCTCTGCCCTGGCTGCCCAGCTCTACCCCGGCTCGCAGCCTCCAAACCCTCCCTCTTCCCCTAAAAACTGCCGGCGCTGTGATTTCCAGCTGGAACGATCTCGTAGCAGAAAGGAGGGCACGGCTCGGCGCCGAACTCCGGGGGGGATGCCTCCCTGGTGCTAATTAGTTGACTTCTAAAGTGCTTGTGTTTAAATTACGTGCTGCAGTAAGGGGTGAGAAACCTTAAAGGCAAACGGCATCAAGGTGCGGGTTTGGGGTGGGGAGGTGGAGCTGCCAGGATGCACCGGGATCAGGACCCGAGTCATGGGCCCAAACCCCCGCATGGAGCATCCTTCACCCATCCTTTACCCCCAGGGTAACACGGCAGAGCTTTTCAGCAGGAATAAAAGAGAAAACTCTTCTTTAATTTAGGGAACGCCGGGTTCAAGCACATCGCTGGCGCTTGATGAAGAGGATGTGAAGCTTCCCAGAGCTGCCAACATCACACACAATCTCCAGGTAGCAGCAAAGGAACGAGACATGAAAAATGTATGGTTTAGCCCCAAAACAACCGGCAAAGACCCGACCTTGAGTCTGTGGGTTGTGCAGAAAAACACGTCCCACGGTGGATTAAAACACTGAGCTACACTTGGATTATGTCTGAACTGTGCTGTGGAAACCACTACCGGTCCTGAAAAGCTCTGCTGGTGCAGCTAAATGCTAAAATCTGGCAGAGAAAACTCTGGCAGGCTTTACCCCCAGAACAGGAGTTCTGCTGATGAACCCCAAATTCTCGAACCTCATCTACCCGTGTGTGTGGGACGGGGGTCCCAGCCCCAGCAGCTCCCACAGCCCCGGGGGATGTGCAGCCTCCAGGACTCGCTCCAGCCCGGCAGCAGCACGGAGCTGGGATTCCATCCCCGTTCTCCCCGCGCTGGGAGGCTCCACAAACACACATCTGGCTGCAGATGTTGTGCAGATGGGACCATTGTCACCAGTTACCAGAATTGAAGGTGCTTTTCCGCCCGGGAGTGCAGGGAGCCCCTCACAGCCCTTCCCCGGCCACCCCACTCATCCCCGAGGACAGCCCAAAAACCCCCGAGAGCTTTTGGAGAGGGTCACCCTCTCCTGACACATCCCTGCTCCAGCTCCAGTAACGATTCATCAGAGAGTCCCCCCGGAGCAGATCCCCAGCCTGGCTGGGGGTTCCCTTCCCCATCAGCACCCCAGGGTGCTCTCAGCTGTCCCAAATCCAGTGTCCCTGTGCCCAAACCGCGCTGTGCACCACGAGCTGGTGGCTTTGTCCTTGCCCTGGCAGGGACAGGCGGTCCCACAGCTCCGGGGACACAGAGACCTTCAAAGAAACCCCCGGAAAGGCTTTTCCTGCAGCTCCACTCTGCTTTCCCTGCTTTCTTTAAGACACTGGAAAATTCATCCCAAAATAAAAGTTGTGACTCCAGGAAGGTGCAGGCGGGCCAGGCTGGTCCCATCTGCATCCCAGCCCGAGTCTGATTTGCCAAAGGAATTTAATCTCCTATCAGGAGATTTCGCACAGAGGCATTTTGGTCATGACCTATTTGAACTCCACCAATAAAAAAGGAACTCACTCCCAATTGTCTCACTGCTGACACGTTTTGTTCCCTGCTGCCCTAATTCCCTTTTATTTTTTTTTTTTTTTGGGCAGTTGAGCATATGCTGGGCCATCAGATTAGGGATTCTTTTTTTTAATGGAAGCAAACAAGAGCAGCTTTTCCTCCATTACCATCCTGTGATCCAGGTGGTTTTTCCAGTGGGAATACCAGAACTGTGGACAGGAGGAGAGTGTCCATGTCAGCATCAGAGACTCAGGGAGTCTCTCATGCTCCATCCACATCCAAAAGAGCTGGGAAGCTCCCCCAGCCTTGGAGAAGTGAGAACACGGAGGGGGTTGAGGAGCAGGGAAGCGGCACAATCCATAATATATAAATCCTAATGACTGAAATGAAATTTCTGATCCAGGGCCGGTCACAGATGGCTGGAGCAGTTTAATACGGGAACACGCCAAGCAGTTTTATTGCCGTGAAAAACAAGCTGAGACAAATAGATTGTGTTGGGAGCGTTATTAACACGGGCTCGGTGGAATTTCTCCCCTAATAAAGGAGCTCCCGATGGGCAGCGATTTCAGCGGTGTCAGGAACCAGAGGTGGCTGCGATTGGAGTGGGCTCAGCCCAGCCCAGCCCGGCTCAGCCCAGCCCAGCCCGGCCCAGCCCAGCCCAGCCCAGCCCAGCTCCCCCCTTGGCTTTTCCCCAGGAGCAAACGGAGCGAAACCAGAGCAGTGAAGAACAAACGGCCCCAAACTGTCCTACCCTAGCTCTGAAGCACAACACGACTTACAGGAGACCCAAGAGAGCATCTCACAGTGCAAACAGAGCGAGTTTTCCCCTAAGGATGCAGCTGGGACGAGGGGCTGGACCGCACACATCCCCCATCCCAGTCCAGGGTGACAGGACAGTGCCCTGTGACCATCAGTCGTTATTCCCAGCACTGCGGGTCAGAGGGGATCTGAATTTCCCTCTCAATTCTGCTGCAAACAGATGGTTTTAACCTGAACGGTGCTGCCAGGGGCTGGTGCATCCCCGGCACGGCACCCCCGAGAAAACACACTCTGCAAAGGGACACAGTGCCCGGGACGTGGGGCTGAGCGAGTGTCACAGCCCTGAGTGACACCGAGGAGTGTCCTCCGTGTCCCGCTGGGCTCCGAGGGTGACTCCTGCCCCCAGAGCCCCGGGGATGGACTGGGGGAACACCGGATGAGGAGCCAGAACCGCAGCTCTGCCCTGGTTTGAAAGCAGCTCAGAAATCAGAGCAGCACCAAGGGACGTGACCCCCTGAGACCACTGCCAGCCCAAAATATCCCATCCCGTCCCCACCCCGAGCGGGGCACAGCCAGCGCTGGCACAGGCGGGGGGAGCAGAAGGGACAAACCCCACGGTGCCCGGGCCAGACCCGCGCTCCGGTGTGGCGGAATTATTTTGGAATAACCCAAATGAGAGCCTCCCCCTCCTGGCGGAGTCCGTGAGCCGAGCAGCTCCGAGGCAACACGGATGCTAAGAGTTAATTAACTTCCAGCACACCTTGTTTTCGCAGTGCCAGGGGCTGCCACATTCCGGAATTAACCTGATTTAAACCCATTTCCCTCACTCCCAGGAACGGTGCTCTCGTTACTCACCCGAGACAGCTCATCTTCCCCCCTGGCAGCCGGATTTCAGCATCCTCGGGCAGAACTACAACTGAGCACTTTGCCTACACGCATCAGCCATATGGGAAGGGATGGGAGCGGGGAGGACCCGGCACAGCACGTGCATCATCCCCGCTATCCACAACCAAGCAGATGAAAAAAAAAAAAAAAGTCAGCAAATTAAAATCTGCAGGAGCTTAATTCTGGGCAAATGGGATGAAACCCATTTGAGATTAAAAAAAAATAAAAATCCAATAGTGGAAAAGCCCGGCTCCAGGACAGAGGAGAGGCGGCCGCAGCCCCGGCTGGATCCGTGTGCTGAGTCGGGGGTCTGGGGTTACGCTGAGCCGCAGCACTTTGCAGCACGGTAAAACCCCGGGGAGAGCCCAGGGAGGGGACAGCAGGGGAGGGGACAGCAGAGGACAGCCGGCAGCAGCAACAGCACAAAAATAAATACAGCTGCTGCGGAGGGAAGATCCAATCAGGCCAGCGCGAGGGTCAGTGGGAGACGGGGACGTAGCGGCGTGACAGGGGACACACGGGCACACACAGCCTGCCACCTCCGTGTGCCCGTGCCAGGGCTCAGCCGCCTGCCCGGGCCATGGAACAGCGGCGGGGACCTTTGCTGGCATCACCCCGGCATTTATCCCAGTCCCTGGCCGATGGCACTGCCAGCCTGGGGACAAGTGGCTCATGGCAGCCCTCCGAGGGCTCCTCTCCTCAGGGTGGATGGGATCACCAGGGTGTGCAGGACTGTGCCCATCTCAGGTGGGCACACCAGTGCCCAATATCCCTGGAGAACTGGGCACAGTCTCACAGGGATACCCAGTGGGTATTCCCGAGGTCCCAACTCCTCCCTGGGGTAATTCCACAGGATAGGATCAGGTCTGGGGGGTTCTCCTGCCCGGGGTGGCTGCCCTGTGCCCCACGAGAGCACGATGGCCACAGCAGCACCCCCACACTGCACCCAGCCCGGAGCCAGTGCTGGAACCAGGACACCCCTGCATGAACCCCCCCACGGCCTTTCCCAGAGCCCTCCTCACTCAGCTGGAATCACCCAAAGAATTCACAGCACCCCGAATCCAGAGCTCCCAGGAGCTCACCACCTCCAGGGACAGTAAAAGCAGGGACAGCTCTTGCTTGGCAGTGAAGCCAACAGAGAGACCCCGGGATCAGCAGCTGGGATCAGGCACAGCAGCACGCCTGGCACTGCCCCCAGCACCCACAGCTGGAAAACCTGGTCTCCAAGGCACCTTTTTTATTTATTTTCTTGAGTTCATTTCATTAAGATTAGACGGTAAATCTTTTCCCTGAGCTAAATATTTCATTTCCATTAAACCCAGATTAGCTGCCGGATCCACGGCGCCCCTTGCCCCAGCCCTGGCGTTAACCTTTCACCCGGGGGCAGGGGGAAATCAGGGCTTTGACTCTGTTTTGGGGAGCCACAACGTGGTGCTGGCCCTGGCATCACGGGCTGGGCACGGGGCAAGCTCCGAATGGCAGCCCCGGGTCCAGCCACGCTCTCCTCACTGACACTGGGATGGCTGGGATGGGGAGATCCTGGGGGGAACCTGCTGTGCCCCCCACAGAGGGGCTTGGGTCCGGAAGAAGATTTGGACACTTATTCAAATCCCCTCTGTGGGGGGAGGTAATCCTGTATAATTCCCTAGGGATGATGACAAAGGGGATATCCGAGGCATTTGAGGTATTTTCATGGATCTTGCCAGGGGAAAGAATTTTCCTGAATTGTGAGTGGTAGGGGCTTATTTTTTGATTTCGTTTGGGTTGATGGCTCAGTGCCATCCATCCCTGCCCCCCAGCCCCAGCTGTTGGCAGGTCGGGTCCCTCCAGAATGCTCAGTGGGGACAGGACAGGCTGGACCTGGGCACCTGGACAAGGTGACTGCAGGCAGCTGACAGTCCCCTCTGCAGCCTGGCCCTGCAGGGGTCTGTGCCTGTTGTCCCCAGACGTGCAGAGCTTTGGGGGACCCACAGGCTGTCACAGCACAGCAAGGGGGACACTGCATGGCCAGAGCCCCCAGCCCACTGCCCCCACCCTCCCCACGGCAGAGACCCCGCACAGGGATGTTGTTATGGAAACTGTAATATCTTGCAATTCCTCTGATTAAAGCAGGAATTGCAAAGCTGGGCCCGGAGCGAGGCCAGATGGAGACCTGATTCCCTAATGGCCATGGTCTCAGCCTGGCTGTAATCCCACCACGTGTCCCTGTGCCAGCACAGCTCCAGCCCCAGCTCCCACCCAGCAGAACAGACACACTGGCAGCATCCCCCTGGCACAGGGGTTCCAGAGGTGCCAGGGACCCTGAGCCCCAGCAGAGAACTGCCAGGGCATCCTGGCATGAGTGACCACTCCCTGGCACCCTGGGCAGCCCCAGCAGAGCACCCCCAGCCCCCCCCAGTGCCAGAGCTGCTGGCAGCCCTGGCCAGCACCAGCTCTCACCCTGCAGAACTCAGATTATTTGCTGGCCAAGCTTTTGGAGAATCTCCAGTGGCTCTGCAGTTAATCCCATCTCCCTTCCAAATCACGGCCAGGAATGGGAGCTGCATCCCCTGCTGCAGGCAGAGGCAGTGGGTGCAGGGCACCCACACACCCTGGGCAGGAGGGCACAGGGCTGCTGGGCTAAGAGGCCACCAAGCTTGAAAAGCTGCTTGGCATCTTCTCTGCAGGACCCTCCCAACCCCTTCCCACAGGATCCTCCCAACCTGCCCTGCTCAGCCCTGCTCCCCCGGCAGCAGCAGGCACAGGAAGCTATGGCTTGATGGCCCAGGGCAGTGTGGAGGTTGCCATTCGTGGTTTGATGGCCCAGGGCAGTGTGGAGGTTGCCATTCCTGGTTTGATGGCCCAGGGCAGTGTGGAGGTGGCTATTCCTGGTTTGATGGCCCAGGGCAGTGTGGAGGTGGCCATTCGTGGTTTGATGGCCCAGGGCAGTGTGGAGGTTGCCATTCCTGGTTTGATGGCCCAGGGCAGTGTGGGGGTGGCCATTCGTGGTTTGATGGCCCAGGGCAGTGTGGAGGTGGCCATTCGTGGTTTGTTGGCCCAGGGCAGTGTGGAGGTGGCCATTCCTGGTTTGATGGCCCAGGGCAGTGTGGAGGTGGTCCCCTGTACCTGATGCTGTCGATGAGGTGCTGGTGGGACTCCTGGGTGAGCACCATGCACAGGGCATAGGCCAGGCACTCCACTCTCCTCTCGGCTGCATACTGCTTCAGCACAGTGAACACCTTCTCCTTCAGCTCGGGCTGGTCCCCCAGGATGGCATCCACCTGCAGCGTGGGGAGGGGAGCACAGGGGAGGAGAGGGGCACTGAGCAGGAGAGCATGGAGCCGCAGGCAGGGGCAGTGCCACATGGAAAATGTGTCCCACACGCAGCCAGGGTGGAGGGAAGCAGGCAGGGAGGAGAGGGACATTCAGACATCAGCCCATCACACAGCCCTGGAACTGCTGCTCCAAACATTCCACCAGAACACAGGCGTGACCCCAAACTCCCGAACTCTGCTGGGATGGGAGCAGCCTGGAGTCTGCCTGGCAGAGGATTCTGCAATGGCTTTTGGAGATATTTAACCTTCGTGCATCACTCCCTGATCCCTCTGGGCAGCTCTGTCCTGCCCTTAGTGCCAGGAAGCTGCTGGGAATGGGGAGACAGAACATGAAGGTGAGTGCCAGCCCTGGAAACAGCACTGACAGCTCCCAGCCCCATCCTCTCCAGCTAGGACAAGCAGAGTAATTAGCTAATTATCATCGAGCCAATTACCCTGCATGGGACCCTCCTCATTCACCTCTTCCCACACTGGGGGGCTGCCCCTTGTCCTCGGGCAGTGGGAGCTGGTTCCTCACATGGCCCCATCGTGTGGGATGCAGGAACTCCCTGTGACCACCTCTCTGTACCTCTGCATGTTGGGTTTTCCTGAAAGGTGAAGTTTTTGTGCTGCCAGCAGGGTTGAAGTGCAGGAAGGGGAGAGGAGCCCCTCACCCTTCCTGTGGCACTGGGGGTGTGTGCAGGGCTCTGTGCGCACCCCTGTGGTGGCACTGCCAGGGAGCCCGCAGGCATCACCTGCCTGGGGAAGGGGCAGAGCCATCTCTTCCAGGTATTGTCCCACCTGGCAGCTCCCCAGAGAGGCTGACACAAGCACCAGGACCCCGGCAGAGCCCCCTGGTGCCACTGGCTCTGCACAGGCACTGCAGGGGCTCCTGGCAGTGGCAGCGCTTCAAGGTTACCGAATCTGGGGCAGGCACAGCAGCAGTGTCCCCTGGGCTGGCTCGTGAGCACGGTCCCCAGGTCCAGCACAGGACTGACAGACTGTGGGATGTTCCTGGTGGGATGGGTCCCAGAGGGCTGCTGTGATATTTTTGCCTGGGTTGGGATTGCAGGGCTTGGTGGGTGGGAATCACAGAATAACAGAATAATTGAATAATTTGTGTTGGAAGAGACCTCCCAGATGCTCGAGTGCAGCCTGTGCCCCATCCCCACCTTCTCACCCAGCCCAGAGCGCCCAGTGCCACATCCAGTCACTCCTTGGACACCTCCAGGAATGGGGACTGCACCACGGGGGTGCTGCCAGCCCCCCTGGAGTTCCCAGCGTGTCCCTGAGCACACAGGGGACAAGAGAAGACATTGCCCTGGAACTGAGACCGTGATGCCAGGACACTGGCACAGCCCGGCTCCAGCCCTGCCCCAGTGCCACTGACATGGACACCGCTGTCTGCCAGGCAGGTGAGTCAGCCTGGGGCTCCACCAAACCAAAGAGGCTGGGAAAAGGTGACCCGTGGGCAGTGCAGGTGTGAAATACAAACCAGCAGCACCCTCCGACCTTCCAGCCTGGCAGAGGGCGGGCGGGCAGCAGCGCTCGGTGCTCACCGAGCAGAGCTGGGGTTTTAGGAAAAGGAGGGGGTGAAACACCCAGCTGGGTTTAGTATTTTCTACATCACATAGAAACTGAAGCCATTTCAAACATCTGCGCTGTGAATTCCCTCTGGAGAGGCATCAGCCAGAGGAGCGAACGGGCTCTGCGTTCCTGCTCCTGCCCAGGCTGGTCCCGGCTGTCCCCGGTGGCTTTGTTGGGATGGGGAGGGAGGGGACAGAGGTGCTGATGGGGACGCTCACAGCACCACAACAAACTTGCTCTCCTGTGATCATCCAGGAATCTTTTACTTGGCTTAATGTGACTTCAGAGATGGAGGCGGCATGGAACAACAGCCCCTCCTCATTAATCTCCTGTAATCAGCAGGTATCTGTTTCCCACGCCCATGAATCCAAACCTCAGTGGGTATTTGTGAATCTTTAATGGACAAGCTGACTGAGGGGATTCGCCTGATACCCACAAATCTCTTTATGGATGTCTTGTTCCTCTATTACCTTGGGATCAAAAAAAAAAAAAAGCCCTACCAGCCTGGTTATTTTCATAACAGCATTTTAAAAGGCTACTTTGAAATGGAAATTAGAAAGATTGAAAAAAAAAAACAACTGTGATCAAATTTATAATTAGCACAAGGCGAAGTGTTTGGTAAAATACCCACTAGGAAGCTTTCAGGAGCACAATGAAGATGTAATCGTATTGATGTTTTCCCTTTTGCAACAAAATAAGAACTAAAACGTCTGCGGGGTGACAGGGTCAGACTTTGAAGGGACAACCAGGCACGCAGCAGAGCGGGATCTGCCCCAGGGGTTTCTCCTCGCTCTTGTAGTGCAAGGGAACAAGAACTTGGGGTGATCCCCGGGGAGCCTCCAAGCCTTTTGCAGCATCCATCTGTTCTTTTGAAGCTGTCCTGACAGCAGATGCTGCGCATAGATTTTGCTACATATTGTAACTTATTGAAATTGTTAATTACCGGGTAATTACCGGACCCTTCTCCCGGGTGCTCATGCCCGGCGCATTCCCCATCCCTGCGCCAAGACTGGAGGTGGGAACCTCCAACCCTCTGGGCTCATCCCCTTTATCCCACACCTCGACCTCACCTTCCTGCTGAATTCCTGCGCTTTTTGCTTCCTGTCCCGGCTGGCGGTGCCGGCTCTGGGGTCCCTGGCGGTGTCCCCGCGCTGCGGCCGCAGCAGCGCCAGGCGCAGGGAGCGCCCCCGGCACGACCCCACCAGCTCGGCCGCCGCCTCCGGCAGCACCACCGGGGTCCCGTCCACCTCCAGCACGTAATCCCCCGGCTCCAGCCCGCAGGCAGCCGCGGGCGACTCGGGGCTCACGCTGGCCACTCGCGGGGGGCTCTCGCTGGCCAGCTCGAAGCCGAAGCATCCCCGCGGTCCCGGTGGGATGCTGGCGTGCTGCAGCCGGGACACCACGCCGATGCTCGGGGGGACGTTGTGACAGCTCCGGGCCAGCCCCAGCAGAGCCTCGCAGTTCAGGGAGGACACGGGCTGGCCCTCGATCTCCAGAACTTCGTCCCCCGGGCGCAGCCCCGCCAGCGCCGCGCTGCTGCCCTCCTGCACCCACAGGATGTAGCACGGCCCCGAGCCGCTTATCCGGAACCCGAAGGACTCGGGCCAGCCCTGGTTGGTTGCCGGCATGGCTGCGACTGGAAAAGAAGGAGGGAAAGAGAGGAGTTGTGATGGCTTTTCAATCCTTTGGGGTGGTTCCTGTAGATGCCGTGGGGAGCCCATGGTGGGGGGTAACAGTGTGTGCTGTGACCCCCTCACCGTGGGAAGAAATGCCCCAAGAACCTGCATTTCCTCTAGATTTCCTTAAAATAACAGCTCTTACTCTGTCTTTGGCTGCTGGCGGTGCCATTGAGGAGGCCACGTTGGCTGGGAAGGTTGGGGCCACACGTGGCACTCAAACATGACCTGGCACAGCCCTGGTCTCACCTGTGGCACCCACCTACCCCCAGGAGCCTCATTTAGGCATCTTCTTGTATTTATTTGTCTATCAAAATGATTAGTTATTTCTCTGACATGTTGCATTAATGAATAGATGATCCAAGGACTTAAACCAGCCTGATTTTAACCAGCTCTCCTCAACACGCAATATTTTAGCTGTTTGCAACTACAAAATTACTGTAAATTCATTAGAATTTGCCAGATCCCCCCAGCTCTCCCAGGATCATTTCTCTGTGCCCTCTCAGTCCTGTTGTCTGATGAGTTGTCCTGATGGCAGCATCCCGAAATGGCAGGTGATGGCTTTCAGCAGGACTTGTTTGTGAAGGGTTTGGACTGGCTCCATGGATGCTCAAGGAGACATCGGGCACATGAGCCCTGAACATCTGCAGGAGTTGTCTTTGCCCAAGGTAAACCCGGCCAGCTGATGTGCACAGTGCACTCAGACGCCCTTTCCATGCTGTGCTGTCCAGATGACCTCGCTGTGGATCCTTCCAACCCTCCCATTCCCTGCTTCTGTGATGTGTAAATGCCTGCACTGTCTGCCGACCCTCACTAAAATAATTCCCCCGTGGTTTTCCTCTGCGTTTGATCTCAGCTGTCTGTGAAGATGCTTTTTACCCCGTGTTTACTCCATCTGTGTCACTGAACACACATTAAGCACTTACAAAAAATAACTCAGACAACTTTACCTGGGCAAATTATCTTACAGAGACTATGAGACTCAGAGGGGAAGAGCTGAGGGTGAAGCTCGGGGCAAGCCTGGCAGCAGGAGGATGAAACCCATCTGTGACCAAACCCCATCCCTGAGCCGAGCACATCTTGACAGCTTCAGCAGGAGCCCAGTAAGGACTGGGATGGTCCCAGTGCTGCTGCTCTGGGCTGTGCTCCAGGAAAAAGCCCGGCAGAGCAGCGGGGAACTGCACCCCCTTGCACCTCGCCGCCCCTCGGCTCCAGCACTTACAGAAGTCCGCGGCCATCCAGGCGAGCCGGGGGCTCTCACTGGTGACAGGTTTGTCCCACCAAGGGCTCGAAGCTTTCTTGACTCTCCTCCATCACCCCTGGAAGCGCTTCCCATGTACCCGCAGATCTCCTGGGAGCATCTTCCCGGCTCCCCCGTCCTCGCTGCAGCCCCCGGGGTTGGGGAGCGGTCCGGGGTGTGTGGAGCGGCTGCCGTGGCACCGGGACAGAGCGGGCAGGGGGTGGCTGCCCCTTCCCTGCTTCTTACGGGAGCCCTGAGCCCTTCCAGCTGCTCCAGCTCAGCGCCAGACACGCTCTAAGGTCTTTCTGGCCTTTTCGTTTTCTAATTAACTTTATTTCCATCGCACAGAGGAGCGCGGGCAGACTAATTGCCGTGCTCGTCCTGGCTGAGCCTGGTGCTGACCTGAGCCTGCAGATCGGGGAGGAATTAGGAGCTGGAAGGAGGGAAAACAGATTAGTGCCCGTGGAGGGAAATCCTTTACCCACAGGGCAAATCCGAAGCGACAGCGCTTGAGGAGCAGCAGGGACAGATCCGGGGGGACCTGGGAGTGCCGGGACCTCGCCAGCAGAGGTGGGTGAGACACTGAGATTTTGCGAATACATCCCACACGTGGTTTGCTGTCGAGATTTGGGGGTTGAAGACTTTGGGGCTCACCAGGAGAACTGTCCCAGACCTGGCTGCTCTGTGTGGGGTGTCCTTGCAGTGGGGAGCAGCCGAGTGTTCGGCCACAGAGCCGCCCGCGCTGGCACCGACTGTCCCTTAAGCTGCTATTTCTGATTTTCTCCTTGGCTTCCTCGGCACTGAGGGATCCCAGGGCTTAGCACGCTAAGAGGTTTTAGGGAATTACACGTCCTGCTGTGGCACCAGCGGGAAGGGCGTCTGCATCTCTCCATGGACCACGCAGTGATCCAGCCTCCCCTGGGCTCCGGCATGGGCTGCTGGTGGTGATGGATGGGGTGGGAAAACCTCCCCGGGACACCCGGGAGAGCTGGAACGGGGAAAACCTCCCCAAAACACCCGGGAGAGCTGGCACAGGCTGGGCACAGGAGAGCTGTGGAGACCTGCTCTGCACAGCCTGAGGATGAGCTCGATGTGGCAGAGGATCTTCCTCCTGCTCGGGACCTCTGTGGACCCACTTCTTCTCCTCTTCCTGCTCCTCCTTGTATTCTCCAGCTCCTTTCTGCCTCCTTCTCCTGCACAAATCTCCTCCTGAGCAGCAATCCCCGGGTTTTGGGGCATCTGTCCTCCCATGCTGACACTGACACACACAGTTCCTACAAACTCATGCATCTCCATCACTATTCCCGTCAAAACTGCAGTTAATTCCGTTTTGTTTTTGTTTTTATTCAGCCAATGAGGTAATTGCTTCTTCCCCTCCATTTGTAACTGACTTGAGCACTTTAAACACTGCCAGTGAATTTTAATCCTTGAAAGAACTGAGTTCTGGGATCCCAAGTGAATGGAGATGGTTTCCATTAAGACTTTCTGCCAGGCTTTGACCAGATGAGACTTTCTTAGTGATTTTCACAGTGCTTGGACAGAATGAGCTTCATCCCTCTGAGTCTCAGCCTCTCTCCAGGTATTTGGTGGCCGGTTGTCCGTGAGCACAGCCTGTAAGGGCACCGAGAGTGGGCGAGCTCCTGGGCAGTGCTGGTGCCAGTCCCAGTGTGGTGGCCCTCGCTGCAGCTCCTGTCCTGGCTGTGCCCAGGGACCGTGGCACACAGACCCTGCCTGTCCCCCCACAAATAAATCCCCTCGTACCCACCCCCAGCCCCTTCTGTGCCCCCAGGCTTGCCAGGTGACATCCAGTGTCCCAAGCCAAGCTATTTCTGTACCTGCAGAAATTCTGCTGTCTCAGTAGGATGGGGGGAAATGGCTTTTCCCCTTCATCCTCCAGGTGTCTTGGGCTGCACTCCAAGACAGCTGTGCCCCAGGAATATTCTGGCTGCATTTCTCCCTCTCATGTCCTGTTTGGTGCACTGGTGGCCCGAGTGGGTGCACTGGGCTTACCACGGGAAAAAAGAGACTCTTCCTGAAATTCAAGCTCCTCTCCTGCCTCCCACCAAGACGATTCATCTCCTCTGTGGCCGAAGCCCCTAGAGCATCCCTGGAATGCTTACCTGTGCTGTCCGAGCTCCAGCCAGCGGCACAGCGGGACCCAGAGCTGGCAAAACCATCCCAGCAGTTTGGGAGCCTTTGGATCGGTGACGCGACGAGTTTCTCTGGCAAATTCCAGGCAGTCACCGTAACCCAATCGGCTCCTGGCGGGCGGTTTCAGTTATCAGAGAGCGCAGAGGGACAGGCACAGCCCAGCATCCAGCACTGCATCCAGTGCTGAATCCTGCATTACAACCAGCGCTGCATCCAGTGCTGAATCCTGCATTACAACCAGCGGTACATTCTGCACTGCATCCAGTGCTGAATCCTGCACTACATCCAGCGCAGCATCCAGCGCTGCATTCAGTGCAGCATCCAGTGCAGCATCCTGCACAGCATCCAGCGCTAAATCCTGCGCTGAATCCTGCACTACATCCAGCGCTGCATTCAGTGCAGCATCCAGTGCAGCAGCCTGCACAGCGTCCAGCGCAGCATCTTGCACTGCATCCAGCGCTGCATCCTGCGCTGCGTCCAGCGCTGCATTCAGTGCAGCATCCAGCGCTGCATCCTGCTCAACATCCAGCAGAGCATCCAGCGCTGCATCCTGCGCGCTCCCACCGCATCCATCCTCGCCCAGGTGGGAGCCGCCAGGTGCGGCAACGAACCCCCCTCACCTGGGACAGGGTGGGACGAGGAGGATCCAGGTGACAAGGGAATATCGTGCTCAGATTTTTGCTTTAGAGACTTTACCAAAGGAATTCACGAAGGGATTTTTGGCGATTCCTAAGGATGGGCCGGGGCAGTGGGTGGCGATGCTGTGTGAGGACGGGAGCAGCGCAGCAGCCGCACGGGGCTCACACGGTAACGAGAGCGCGGCAGCTCCGGCATTCACAGAGGGATTTCAGCGATGTTTTTTTTTGTTGGTTTTTTGGTTTGTTTTTTTTTTACGGCTTTGTCGCTGCTCGGGGCTGTGGCGGGGCCCGGTTCCCTGCCCGGTTCCCTGCCCGGTTCCGCCGCGGCGCCGGAGGGCGCTGGAAGCGCCGGGCAAGGCCGGGCAGGGCAGGGCCGAGCGGCGCCGCTTCCGCAGAGCCGGGCAGGGCCGGGTAGGGCCAGGCAGGGCTGAGCTGGGTCAGGCCAGGCCGAACAGAGCCGGGCCAGGCTGGGCAGGGCAAGGCCGGGCCGAGCAGAGCCGGGTCAGGCTGGGCCGAGCCTTCCGCAGGGACGCGGCTGCTCCGGGACCTGTCCCGCGGTGACCCCCGGGGCTGGAGCGTGTCCAGGGAAGGGAACGGGGCTGGAGAATTCCTGAGAGAGCTGGGAAGGGGCTCAGCCTGGAGAAAAGGGGGATCAAAGGGGATCTTGTACAACTCCCTGACAGGAGGGGACAGCCAGAGGGGATTTGGGATCTGGTCCCAGGGACCAGGGATAGGAGGAGAGGGAACAGCTTCAAACTGTGCCAGGGGAGGTTCAGCTTGGACATCAGGAGGAATTTCCCCATGGAAGGGGTGGTCGGGGTTTGGAACTGCCCAGGCGGGGTTGGAGTGCCCATCCCTGGAGGTGCCCAAGGAGTTTCTGGATGTGGCATTCACAGGGCTGGGGACAGGGCACAGCTTGGAAAGTTTTTTTTTCCAGCCTAAAGGATTTTGGGATTCTGTGTTTGCGCCTTGGCTCCCACAGAGATCAACGAAACACTGCCCTCAGGGCTGGGGCTGCTGCATCCCTGAGCTCAGGGAATGCCAGGATCTGCTGCAGGGACCAAGAGCTGCTCCTGTTCCATTCCAGGCTCGGCATGGACTTCCTGACGCTCTTCCTGATTTACCTGTGCTTCGTGCTCGCCCTCACTGCCCTGCTCTGCCTCTGCTCGGGAAGGAAGGAGAGTTTCCTCACAAGGAGCATCAACAGGGCAAGCCAGGTAAAGCACTGGGCTTCCAGGTAGAGAGTGAACTTCCAGGGGAATGGTCATCTCCTGTTCTGGTAATCTGCCCTGCTTTGTTGTGCTAAAATTAGTGCAACTGCTATATTTGTTCCCAAAAAAATCCCCGAAACAAAACAAAAATCCAGCATGTCTGGTTAGAGTGATAATCTATTTCATCCTGTTTGAATGTCTGCTCTCAAGGAAGTGGGATAGGAAGCAGAAATACACTTCCTTTGAGATGATTAAATCCTGCCCAAGCAGATAATAAAAATCATTTGGGTCCCGCAGCTCCTGTGCCTTGTCTGGGGTGAGGATGGAACTTCTGACCAAGCCAGAAGCGCCTTCCTCAGTAACGCCACAACACAACTTTGAAAAATTAAATAAGAATCAGGCCCCAGGAATTTGCAGTTTTGTGGTATTGGCTGCTGTCATCGAGAGGAAAAAGGTGGAGGAGGTTTGAGGATTAAAATAGGGAGAGAATTATAAGTGGTGGTAGATATTTTAGGGGAAGCTCTTTAATGTGTGTACTAATGCTGCAGGCTCTTGTTCACTAAGAAAGAGGCAGGAATGAAGAGCTTTAAAAGAGGATTAAGAATTGGCATTTTATTGTAAAAACAGGGAATTGGAAAAGCACCAGTTCATTTTTCTGTCTGTTGGGCTGTGTCTGAATGAAAAGGAAAATAAAAAAAAGCTGTAATACTCCTGGAAGGCAGAGGATGAGGGAATTATCACTTAAATTGTAAATTATATTTAATGCTGTTCACAGGAGTTCAGACAGATTTTTTTATTACTGGTGTTATACTTTCATTTGGTTTATAGACACACTGTGCAGAGAAATTGATTTTTTTTCCCCCCATATCTTAATAGCTGTTGCTGTGAAGTGTTTAAACAGCAGCAGTTAAATTACTGCTGTGCTATAAGCCACTGTCTGGAGGAATCTAATCAATACTTGTGCCTGGGAAATAAATGTGAATTTAATCAATATTTTACCTGGGATATAAATACAGGCAATGCTGTATGTAAGGTCACAATGTAAGATAAATTATTATAAGATAAGGACCAATATAATACAAACCCCAGAATATCAGAAGGGTCTGAAGCTCTTAGAGAGTGTCCAAAGGATGGACATGAGGGTGGTGAAGGGCCTGGAGGAGGAGCTGAGGGCACTTGGCATTAGCCTGCAGTGTGTTGAGGTTTCCTGCAGGTTCTTTTCTGCTGGGTTGTGTTTCTTCTTACAGCACACTTGATTAAAAAAAAAAAACTTCTTTTTACAAACACTCGTCCCTCAAACTGCCGAGCTGAGACTTACCAGTTCACACCAAAATATTTAGCATCTTCTCAGCTCCACATATGCTTTTTGCCTCATGGTCTTTCACGTCTGAGGCAAGAAGCTCTCACTGCATATTTTCCTTGCATGTCAGCTTGAAATAGGCTCAGGCACTCTAATTCCTGTGCTGTGTTGCTATAGAGATCTGCCAGCTCGGAGTCAGACAATTCCACGGGCTCAGCCCTGGCTCAGGGCGTCACTCAATGAGCACGGGCAGGTTCCTTCCTCAGCACGTCGAGCTGGGCTTGAAAGGGCAATTAGACATGGAGCCATGGGGCTGGATCAGAGCTGCAGCTGGAGAAACTGGATTTTTTTGGGTTTGGCTGGCTCGTGGATGTTTTTTTTTTTCTCTCTTTTCTGGAGGCCACAGGGTTTATCCCTTTGCTTATCTCCCCTTGATCTGTCAGATGGGCTGATGGAGCATATTGTAGCTGGGGAATTGCTCAGTTCTATCCCCTGCTTAACCCAGCCCCACCCCACACCACCCTAAGCTCCTTAGAACTTTCACACATTAACCCAGATATGTTTGTTTGGGCCTGGGGGGCTCCCAGGAATATTGGAACGTCAGTCCCATGTGGAAAACCCCAGCAGCATTCCTGCCTCTCTTCTTTCTCCATAGAAAGGGGGGTCAGGCATTGGAACTGCCCAGGGAGGTTTGGAGTCCCCATCCCTGGAGGTGTCCAAGCAAGGACTGGAGGTGGCACTGAGTGCTCTGGGCTGGGGACAAGGTGGGGATTTGGCACAGGTGGGACTCGAGGAACTGGAAGGGCTTTTCCAACCTTAGTGATTCCAGGATTCTGTGATTCTGTGTGCTATGGTTGGATTTTATGATCTTGAAGGTCTCCTGCACCTTTGATTCTGTGGTGAGAAGCTCAGATGCCCCTCAGAGCCTCCTCCCTGGTGCTGTGGCTGTGCAGCTCCAGAGCTGAGGGATGAGGGACTTGTGCTTAAATCTGAGCTTGGCCCGAGGCAGCAGTGATGGCCAGGTAACACAGAGCATCATTTCCCTCAGGTGCTGTCACTGGTGATCCCCACTCAGCTCCAGAGGGTGACACACCAGGCACTGCACAGGCTCTTCCACACAAGGTATTGCACTTTTATACCTTTGGCATTGTTTTTTACTCCTATTTCTGGTTACTATTGGCATCTCCTGCCACCATCAGAGCTCCCAGTGTGATCCTTAGGTATTCTGTCTCCATTTGGAATGCCTGTCAGGGATTAAAGATTCTCTCTGAGGTTTGCCACGCTGTTGTCTCTCCCTTCCTTGTCATTGTTTGGAGGGTGGTACCCTGAAATGTTTGAACATATTGACAGATGAGGATAATGTGGCTCAGTGACAGATGTTGGTCACACTGGTGGGATCCTGCATGCCCACAGGAATTACCACAGCCTCCCTGGCAGCTGCAGATGGAGTCAGACAGACTCTCAGTCTCCACCCTCTCCCTCAAATCCCATTAGTCTCAGTCCAGCAGCTTGGATGTCCAGGTGGCTGAGGGGGAAGCTGCACAGCTGCCAGTGTTCAGCCTGCTGGATTCAGGTGGATTTTGTATGTCTGTAAACTCTGGTGCCTCAGGAATGATTTAAATACCTTTTCTCTGGGGACAGCAGCTCGGTGTGATAGTGACTTCAGGGCTGGAAATCTGCAGCTGTGTTGTGAGTGCTGGGCTGGTTTTGTGCCTGTTCTGCTGATGCTCTACTCTAAAAGCCTGAGAACAGAGAGGTGACACTCTCAGGGGACACTGGGATTCTCCACAGACTCTGCAACTGGTGTTCACCACTGCCCACCTCCTGCCACCCTTATTTTCTAACAGCTGGTTATATTACTGCAGAGTTTTTAAGATTATTTTGGGTGATTTTTCTTTGCTTTCAGAGTAGCAAATGTATTCTGGCAGAATGTTTTGTGGCCTATTGCTGTGGCATATTTTGTCAGCAGCAAGTGATTATAAGACTTTGTACTGACAGGGAAAAAAATCCAAAGGACATGTGAATAAAGCAGGGAATTTAGCTGACATATTTAAAGGAGTATATGTGGGAAGAAGAGAAGGAGAAGCCAGTGGATGGAGAAAACACTATTAATATGCAATCCAAGCTGGCCTGAAAACCTAAAAGAGGTGTCTCCTTGCATTTGGAAAGTCTTTGATCACCTCTGAGTGTACTTGACCTGTTAATCAGGATGCTGAGTATTAAATAGACTGTCCCCTTTCCTTTGCAGGAGCTGTTTGTTTATGGTCCTGCACGTAGCCCTGCAGGCTGCAGTGTTTGGGGAATACACCTGGGAAGTGTTTGTGTACTGCTGGGAGCTGCAGTTCCACCTCGTGCTGCTGCTCCTGCCCTACCTGCTGCTGGCTGGGAACCTGGGCTGCTTCCTGCTCTGCTCCCGGGCCAATCCTGGTAACATCATGCTCGTGCCCTTTGAAAAAAAAAAAAAACGCTAAAAATCCCATTTTTCAGTTCTTTTTCTTGTCTCTTTTGCAGGTACAGTGACAAAATCCAATGCTGCATCCCTGGTTAAGGTTTATGCCTACGATGGGGTGTTGTTTCAGAGAGGCCTCGTGTGTCCCACGTGCACTGTGGAGAAGCCAGCCAGATCCAAGCACTGCAGTAAGGATCTGGAATCCCTTGATAACCATGACAGTAAGACCTTCCCAAAGGAGTTCTCCCTCAGGAGCTGCAGTTCCCACTACAGCTGTTCTGTTACCAGCTCAGTGCTCACAGGGCTGTGTTTGTTTTCCTGGGGTCCCAGGTCACAGCTGCATTTGTCCATCCGTGGAGCTGGTTGGGTGCTGTTTCTTCTCCCAGAAATTACCAGTTATGAGGGATAATTCATGGTCAGGAATGGCTGAGCTTTGTGAGCAGCTGGAATTTAAATTAGAAATTATCACCTGTCAGGACATCAGATCAAGATTTTGTGTTTCATAGTCACAGAATCCTGTAATGGTTTGGGCTGGGAGGGATCTTTAAAGCCCATCTTGTCACCCCCTGCCAGGGGCAGGGACACCTTCCACTATCCCAGGGTGCTCCAAGCCCTGTCCAGCCTGACCCAGAACACTGCCAGGGATGAGAAGTCCACCACCTCTTTTTATCATCTAAAATAAAGGTGGGAGCTACAGTCTCAACCTTTCAGGTGCTTTGCCAGGCAGTGCTGTCAGAGAAACCAAAGTCTTGGAGCTGCAGTCTTGGTGAATAAGAGCAAATGGAATAGATTTTTTTTTTCTTAGGATACACAATTGAATTTATTTGCTTCAAAAGCTGCCAGCTAAACCCTGACTGCAACTCCCACATACCTTCAGCTTAAAAAAAAAAAAAAACATGTTAAAGATCAAACTGCTTACTTAAAAATGAAGTGCCAAGACACTTGTTTTGCCCCTGCCTCCTCGAGGTGTGTGCAGGACGTGTGTGCATCGCTTTGACCACCACTGTGTGTGGGTCAACAACTGCATCGGGGCCTCCAACGCTGCTGTGTTCCTGCTGTACCTGCTGTCCCTGACGGCCACAGCAGGGGCTGTGGCTGCTGTCACTGCTGCTTTCCTCATCCACGTGCTGCTGCTCTCTGACATCATGCACAGTACCTACCTGGATGCCCAGGGACAGGAGCACCCCGTGGAGATTCCCTTCCTCGTCCAGGTCAGTTCACAGAATTCACAGAATTCAAAGACTCGCTGGGTTGGAGGAGACCTTCAAGATCATCAAGTCCAACCCAACCCAACACCTCAACTAAACCACAGCACCCAGTGCCACATCCAGTGTTTCTTAAACACATCCAAGAAGGGTGACTCCACCACCTCCCCAGGCAGACCATTCCAGTACTTGATCATTCTTCCTGTGAAAAACTTTTTCCTAATATCCAATCTAATTTTCCCTTGACACAGCTTGAGACTGTGTCCTCTCATTCTGTCAGTGCTGCCTGGAGAAAGAGACCAACCCCAGCTGACCACAGCCACCTTTCAGGGAGCTGTAAGGGTGATAAGGTCACCCCTGAGTCTCCTTTTCTCCAGGCTGAACAACCCCAGCTCCCTCAGCTGTTCCTCACAGGCCTTGTGTTCCAAGTCCATGCTATAAAATGTCCACTCTCACACTTTGCTGTCAGGAATGATGTCCTGTTCCCCCAGCATGCAGGGTTTTGAGACAGGCTGCAGGCTTTTAGCTGTTTTACACATATAACTAGATTTAGAAAACTGCTGTTTCTGAATGCTTTAAAAATGGGGGATTTTTCTCACAGCACTTCCCATCCTACAGATTGCTGTCTCCAGGATCTGTCACTCAGATGTGGTTGATAGAGAAGGAATTTACATTCCAATGACCAGCTGATGTAGTAAAGTTTAGGAAGCAGCTGAGGTGCCTTTGTGAAGGTTTTAAAGCAGGACACAGCACCCTGGAATGCAGATACAGTCCCATGTGCACATGGATGTGCATTCCAGCTGGGGTTGTGCAGTGCTCACAGGATTCAACCCTCCCATATATTTTAACTTATTTTTCTCTTTCTCTGCAGCACCTTTTCTTGACTTTCCCCAGGATTGTCTTCATGCTGGGGTTTGTCATCCTGCTCACACTCGTCCTGGGGGGATACTGCTCCTTCAGTCTGTATCTGGCCCTCACCAACCAAACCACCAATGAATGGTGCAAATCCCGAAGATTTGGGGGCTCCCCCCATCTCCTCTCACAGCCTCAGGACAGACCTCTTGTCTACAAAAACATTTATTCTAAAGGGATCTGGAGGAATTTAAAGGAAATCTTTAACCCTCCTACAGTGTTGGAAAGGAAGAAGAAAACATGAAGATATGATTGTTTCTCTGGGCATTTTTAAATGTTTTCTAAGACTTTAGCTCAGCTAAACCTTGGCTGCCCCAGAGAGATTTTGGAACAAGATTACTGCAGAACTCACATATTGGTGCCTCTCAGCTGAGTCCATCTTCCCAAAGTGAATCTTTCTCTCTGGGAAGTGCTAAAACAGAGCTCCTGTGAATTTTGAGGGAGCAGCATCTTTTTGTGAGTATCATTCTTTGGGAAATAATTAACCCATGACTGTTAACAATGACTACAACAGGTTGTGTGTATTTAGCTGAGAAAATGATTTCTGGCAGGATCTTACCTGCAGAAACCATGTCCTACTGCAGCTTTGAAGCATTAACTTCAGGAAGGAAATTAAAGTGTCCCTGTTCTCCTCTCCTTCCAGAAATTCTTCTGTTCGAGTATAATAGAAGAGAAATTGGAAAAAATTATGTAAGAACTTTAAATAATTTTATTTTTAAAAATGTATTTATTTACATGCCGAATCTGTACAATATGCAATTAAAAATCCATATATGGTTTAAAAAAACCAAATTCCTATACAATATGGCTTTCCAGCCCCCAGGCTGGCTCTCAGAGCAGCCTGGCTGGCATTGCAGGGTACAATGATGCATTTCATAGACCAGTACATAAGGCTACTTGTCCAGGATATCAAAGAAAAGAGAAATACTGCAGTACCATGCCTTGGGAGGCCTGAAGGAGTGAGGTTAAAGGCATGAGAGTGTTTCAGTGGTGCTCAACACACACCACAACTCCTTAGGTTTGGTTTTCTCAACTTGTTTTAAATGCATATATTTAAATAATCCCTTGTGAGACCCTACATATTTGCTACACTTTCTGGATCCTTTAAAAAACCAGACCACTGCTGTCCAGTGGGCAGAGGGGGCTGATTCCCAAAGATCTTCTTTAATTCGAGGCTGCTGTACAGAATACTGAGTGCCACTTGTGACCTGTCAGTCTCCTCAGTGGGACCAGGCCAAGGCTTTAACTCCTGGTATTGGTTTCAGACTGAGAACTAAGTTTAAGACTCGGGCCTGCCCTTTCTTGTTTTAGGTCTATCTTGTCCCATTTTAGGCCTGCACTATCTTTAGGCCTGTCCTGTCTCTTTCTAGGCCTGCCATTTTGGGCATGCCTTGTCTTGTTTTAGGCCTTGTCCCATTTTAGGCATGCACTGTCCAGTTTTGGGGCTGCACTGTCCCGTTTTGGGCCTGGCCTGTCCCGTTTTGGGCCTGCCCCATTTTGGGCCTGCCCTATGCTGTTTTAGGCCCACACTACCCCATTCTGGGCCTGCCCCATCCCATGAAGCCACTTCCCTCCAGAACATTCCCCGTTGCTCTCTGGGCAGCCCCAGAGCCCAGGCCAGCCCCAGGCTGGAGCAGCCAAGGCCGTTTGCAGCAGCCCCTCCCTCACACGATCACGGTCTGCACCTCCACGTCTCCCTCCTGCGCGGCGGCGATCACGAACTCCCCGGCGTGCTCCATGATCTCGATGTCCTCGGACGCCACCATGGTGACGGTGGCCTCCTGCGCGGCCAGCCCGCTGCCGTCGGTGGCCAGCACGGCGCCGTCGCCGATGGCCGAGGCCAGGGTCATGGCCACCTGCTCGGTGAGGCTCTCGGGAGTGGCGATGGTGATGGTGTCGGCGGCGTCGGCGGCCGCGCCGCCCTCGGCCACGGTGACGTTCTGCACGATGATCTGGTGGCCCGAGTTGGCCTGGTTCACGATCTGCTGCACCACCTTCATGATGTGGCTGTCGACCTGCGAGGGGACAGGGGGCTGCACTGATCTTGTTGCATTTACTGGGAGAATTAAGAATAATTATCGCTGCAGAGGGGCCTGCCAACCACAGCTCTGCATTCCAAGCTGCTCCACGTGTTCACCCCAGGAACAGGCTCTGCAGTGTGTCACCCCTCCTGTCACTGAAGGGCTGCTTTACCTCGTGTCTTGTTCCTTCTATTATTTCAGTAGCTTCGCTGGTCTCCATGTCTTCAGTAGAAGTCTGAAAGACAAAATAACACGATTCCCTTTCTTGGTTCTCATAAAAAAGAATTTTATCACCAAGATATAATTCATCAAGACCTTTTACACAAGTTTTTCTGTTCCCCCCACATGCAGTAGCTACTCCAAAGACAACTCTTTGACATTCCCTCCCAATCCCATTATCAGGAACTACTTAAAATGAATGCACAATGTTCACAAATAACTGAAAGAGAATGTCCTCCCTCAGCAGGATTTGGCCAAGCAGCAGATTTTTCTCCTACTGGAGAAAAACTAAGCAGCAGTCAATAATTGAGCTGTGTTACCTTGCTGGGATGAGAACTGACTCTGTGTGACAGAGGGGAGAAATACAGAATTCATTGCTTTTGGCAACCTCTGTTAGAAACAACAGAGATTATCTGGGACAAAAGTAAGATAAATAGAAATGGGAGAAAATAGGAGGGAAAGCTGAAGTGAGCTTGTGAGGGCCTAAAATCTGGTGTGCTCAGCAATTCTCAGGCTCAGCCTCCTGCTAAACCACTGTTAGTCTCCCCTTTGGGGAGGGCGGGGAAGCTCCAAGTGCTTTCCTTCCAAGCAAGGCTAATCCCACTGACTCCTGGGGCCATGCAGGCAGGGCAGAGCCTGTCTTACCTTCTCCCAAAAGCTTGGAGCAGGAACATGAACAACTGCAGAGTTTTTCCTGACCAAATCCTGTGCTAAATTCCCAAAGAGCAGGCTGGCTGCCCTTTCTCACCTCGATGATGTATTCCTGGGTGTCTGCCACCACCGAGGAAAACTCCACCAGAACCGTGTGCGGATCTTCTGAAAGGACTGTGGCTGCCAAGTTGTCAGCAGACTGACTCTCCTCTGACACTATCACTTCTTCCACCTCTTTCATAGCAAGGAGGCAGCCACCTGCATGGAATTCCAGAAAAAACATCATTTTTTGTGACCATCTCCAATAGCAGCTGGAAGATGCTACACAGCACCAGCAAGGGGATGCCATGGACAAGTGACCAGCGTCACTTGAGCGGCTCTTGGCCCACCAGGACAAACCAAGGAACATCCCAGAAGAGCCCAATGGCACCAGGAGCAGAGCACTTCTCCAGTGCAATTCCAAACACCACATGGGTATATTCAGGTGGCAAAACCACTCAGGGTTTCCCAAGCCATGTGTGAAGAACATACAGGAAGGATTTGGGTATATTTTAAATCGCTGGTCTTTTCTGCTGATATATCTCAGTATCTCCGACAAAATTCCATTTTTTCCTCCAGTAAACTTGTATTATTCCTTTGGAATAACACCATCAGCACTACCTGAAGAAGTCTGGAAATCCCTGCTTAGCAGCTAAAGGAGAAGCAAATCCAGTGCAACTAATCCCACCAAACCAGATTATCGGTGAGAACTTTACTCAGACATTTCCCTCCCAGAACATCTCCACTTCCACACAGGCCATTAGACCCATCCTCAGCACTATTCCCACCCGGGCCAGGGGTCAGCCTGCTCAAATGCCAGCCCTGCTCACCTTTGGTTTTGAGGTGCCTGTTGAGGGTGCCGTGCTCGGCAAAGCCACGCCCGCACTTGTAGCACTTGAAGGGTTTTTCGCCGGTGTGGTGGCGGATGTGGCGCACCAGGGATCCCTTCTCCCGGAACCCCCGGCTGCAGAACTGGCACACGTAGGGCTTGTCCTCCAGGTGGGTACGGAAATGCACCTGCTGGGCGTTCTGCACACACAGGGAGGCAAGGGAAGGGCTCAGAAGGGACGTGGCTGAATCGTGGATGCAGGGTTTCAGGTGCCAGGGTGGAACTCAATGTCTTTTATAGGACACAAGGGTGGTTTTCTTGGGTGGTGGTTTAGGAATGGTACTCCCCAAGTCAGTGCTTTCACTAAGACTCTCAAACCATGAACCACTCCTCTCCCCTCCCTCGCCCCCTCCCCTTACAGTGGGCTGGAGAAGAGCATTGGAGGCACAAAAGGTGAAGATCATGGACTGAGATAAGAACAATTTACCAGGAACAAGATAAAACAGCACTACTGATGACAGGGTACAAGGAAGAGGTGAGCAATTCACCTGCCCTGATAACAGACAGAAGGAACTCCTTTCCCCCACACCAGAACATTCTGGCCATGTGCCCTCCTGATTACTGCAAAAATTAACCCTGGCCTGGCCAGAACCACGATACTGTTATTATGTATTTGTTCCATACATGAAGAAATTTCTTCAGAAATGTGATGGTTTTACCAGGGAATTTCAGATTACAGATTCACTGAATGGTTGAGGTTGGAAAGAACCTTAAGGAACATCTCGTTCCAACCCCCTGCCACGGGCAGGGACACCTTTCATTATCCCAGGCTGTGGACAGTGAACCCCACCCCCAATTGCCTTGGACACTTCCAGGGATGGAAGAGACATCCGTAAGAGGCAGGCGAGCTGACACTTCGCTCTTTGAGGAGCAAAGCCTCCTACCCCGTGCCAAAGCCTGGCTCTGGGGAGGTTTTGTGAGGGGATCCCACCTTGGTCTTGTAGCGTTTGCCACACTTGGGGCAGGCGTAGGGCCGCTCGTCCGAGTGCACGCGCCGGTGCCCCTTGACGTGGGCGATGGTCTTGTAGAGCTTCCCGCACTCCCCGCAGCGGAACCGCCGCTCGTTCACGTGCACCTCCTGGTGCTTCTTCAGCAGGTAACCCTTGGTGAACTCCTTGCCACACTCCTCACACTTGAAAGGTTTGTATTCTAGAGGGATGGAGAGAAAAATGTGTGGTTGATGCAAGGCAACCCGCAGCACAAGGATCTGGTACAGGTGGAAGTGAATGGTTACAAAAAACAACCTGGAGAAGGATTGTATTGTCAACCACATGTGTGGGTTTTCACAGAACCCCAAAATAGCTGGGGCCTCTGGTCATCATCCAGTCCAGCCCCCTGCCCAGGCAGGGTCACCTGGAGCAGGTGGCGCAGGAACGTGTCCAGGTGGGTTTGGGATGTCTCCTGAGGGAGACTCCACACCCTCCAGGCTCTGCCATGTCAGGGCTCTGCTCTTGCCTCTGTCATGGAAAGAGCTTCTTCCTCATGTCGGGGTGGAACTTGCTGTGTTTGAGTTTCTGGCCACTGCTCCTCGTCCTGTCCCTGAGCAGAGTCTGGCACCATCCTCTGACACCCCTGGAGGGATTTGTATGGATTGAGGGGATCCCCTCTCAGCCTTCCCTTCTCCAGACTGACCAGGCCCAGCTCCTGCAGTCTCTCCTCATCAGAGGAGCTGTACATGGCTGCCACAGCAGCCCCAGCAGCACTTTACCTGTGTGACTCTTGCTGTGAGTTTCCAGGGCAGCAGCTTCATTGAAGGCTTCATTACAGTGAGAGCAATTATAACGTTTGTACCCGTTGGTTCTTTCTGCAGGTGTCTGCTGGAGAGAAAATGGGAAAAACTTTTTTTTTTTGTACTGGTGTTTCCAGTTAGGATTACTACCCACATTCCCAATTAACACTCCAAGTTGAATAGGAAAGAGATCTGCTGTGGAAAGAGACAGCAGGTGTGTGAAGTACCATTTCCCTTAAATCACACCTGTACAATGTAACTCTAAAACCTGACACAAAGCCACAGGCATGGCACAGACATGTGAGGACAACAGTGCTGCCCACAACCAAATATAGACAAAGAAAGTTAAAAAAATTCATCAGTTGATGGAATACAAACATACAGACTCTGCTCCTTCCAGTTTAGCACACTGCTCCCCACATGGCTCCTCTTCTACTTCCACCCCTTTGTTTTCCAGCTCTTCTGGAGCAGCTGCCACAGGTTCATCCTGCTTCTGCACCTCCTCCACAGCCACTCTCTCAATGACAATTCCTGAATTCCTCATGGCCTGCCTCAGCAGGTTCTCACTGTTCACTTCCCCCTCGCAGGGCAGCTCCTCAGGATGTGGCTGCTGAAGGAACAAAGCGAAAGTTTGGCACAGCAAATCCACAATTTTTTACAGCAACACTGCTGCGAGGGTCAGTCTCTCTGGGGTGTCCAGTGCTGTGCTATGGGGTTGAAAGATCAACCAGGGAATTCCTTGGGCTGAGGAGGAAGATGAGGTGGATCTGTACAAGGGATGACAAGCCCACACAGAAACCAACCAAAGTTCATTCCACACTCAGATTTACTGTCAATGCCCAAGAGGTGAAATGTTCTTTGCATAAAGCACACCGAGGGTGTTTGAGACAAACAGCACTCACATCTGGCTCCAGGGGTTTTGCATCCACCACAGGAAGTTCCTGCATCTGGACATGGACTTCATGGAGCACGTTGCCTTTTGCATCTGTCACGAGGTGGATGACAGGGGAGGCCTCGATGGATTCGCTCGCTATCGAGGACATTGTGTCTGTGTTGGAGCTGCAGGATCCTGCAAGGAATGAAATGCACCCCTCAGAAACTCCCTGTGCCCTAAAAAATCTGCCTTAGAGCACAAGGTGCCTGTTAACACCACCTTTGTACCAGATTCTCAAACATTCCCGAGTTCACACTCGGCTTTAAGGTAATAGCTTTGCTCTATAAATTACTTTTTTGCTGGTATAAAAAATATGAACTCAAAACCACGGGAATACTTTTTATCATAAATAAGAATCGTGGAATGGCTTGGGTTGGAAGAACTCTTACAGGTCATCCAACCCCCTGCCATGGGCAGAGACACCTTCCAGCGTCTCAAGCTGCTCCAAGCCTTGTCCAGTCTGGCCTCAGACACTTCCAGGGATGGGGCAGCCACAGCTGCTCTGGGCACCCTGGGTCAGAAGGAATTTCTATTCCAAGTGCTGTGAGGGTTTAGCTTTATCAGACAGCAGGCAGGTCCTGGCAGCATCACTGACCTGAAGGCAGATCATCTTTGTTGACAACTATTTCTTTGGTCATGTTGAAGCGGATTTTTTCAGTGCAAGGTGTCAGAGATTTAAGGTGCCGAGTCAAAGCTCCCGATTCCCGGAAGCTTTTCCCACATTTCTTGCATTTGTAAGGTCTTTCATCTGGAAATGACAAGAATCAAAACAACCATATTAAAACCAGGATCAGCTCTGACAGGTGAAAAACATATTGAGCTCTCTACAGCACACGACTGTGCCTATCCCAGAACATTCCACTGCCTCCCAGCACCCCAAATGCTGGGGAGCTCAATGGTCTCAGCTCAGCAAAATATGGGAAGCAGCAAGGAATTCCACTGGAAGGCAAATGGATAACCACAGCCAGCTCCAGTAACAAGGAACTCTTATTCTGGAGAACTCTTACCCGTGTGCCGCCGATGGTGTCGGATCAGAGACCCCTTTGTCCTAAAGGAAGTCCCACAGAGTTTACACTCATAGTCCTTCCTGCTGCTGTGAGTGATCATGTGAGCTTTGAGGATGCTGGCCTAGGGAAAGAATTTCCTTTAAGAGACGTTCCAAGTAGTTTAAAGATTTTACATTTTAGCTGTAAAGAACAACACGGTTCCTTGTGAAAACAGTACTTCCCTCTGGGAAGTGTGGCAGGCAGTAAAGCACACTGAGTGTTAGGATCTCTTAGTTTACAGCCAGCCTAAAAGGCTCCCTAACCCACAGCAGCAGAGGGGATACTCACAGTTTTAAATGTCTTCTGGCACAGCTCACACACGTATCGCCCCTCCTTGTTCACCTGCAGCTTCACCTTGATCAGCTCGGTGGAAATGTCCTGCTCCTGCTCCTCGGGGCTGCCCTGCTCCTCACTGACCTCCCCATCCACGGGGCCATTGGGGTTCTCAAACACATGGTCTCCTGCTACAATGACCTCTTTGATGTGCCCACTGCCTGGGAAAAGGTGGGGAGACAGTTGGGTTCTTTACAGGCCAGAGCTTTACCCAACAAGCCATTTACTGCTTCAGCATTCCATGCAGGAAGAAGAAAAAAAGATATTTTAAACCTGCAACTCGAGTCTTTGCTACCTTCTCATTATGGCAGCATAAAATGGGCACTTCAGGAACAGAGTTTAATGTCTAATTTGTATTAATTAAGCTGCAGGAGGGTAGATTTAGAATAGATATTGCAAAGGAATTGTTCCCTGTGAAGGCAGGGGGCCCTGGCACAGGGTGCCCAGAGAAGCTGTGGCTGCTCCTGGATCCCTGGCAGTGTCCAAGGCCAGGCTGGACAGGGCTTGGAGCAGCCTGGGACAGTAAAAGGTGTCCCTAAACCTGGCAGGGGTGGCACTGGGTGGGCTTTGAGGTCCCTCCCACCCCATTCCATGACTTTTCCATGACCTGATGGGGGAGGATGGCAGAGCTGACCCAGGGCTGCCTCCCAGAGCTCTGCAGGAAGAGCCTGCCCCAAATCCCAGCGACACAGAGGTGTCACCACCCAACCACAACCCGAAGCCATCAGAAGAAGACACAGGTGAGGGAAAAGGTACCAGACCCTCCCGGGGGTGCCAAGGCAGCACCCCAGAGCTCACCTACGATGGCCGAGGCGTTGCTGATCTCCTCTGCTATGGAAGATGCTTCAACAACAATGTGAGCAACAGTTATGGACTCCTCGACAGCAGGAACCACCTGCTGGCACAGAGCACAGAGTTTCAGCAGGCCGTTTCTGCTTGTCTAAGCACACTGCTCCCTCCCCTCCAACCCAACAGACCGTTGCATCCTAATTATTTCCAGCCCCGGCTCGGAGAAGCCGCTGTCACCTTTTGTCCTTCCTGGCCGAGGAGCCCGGCGAGCGCGTCGGGAGGGCGCTGGCAGCCCTTCTGCAGCTTGTGCTGCACGAACTCCTGCAGGGAGCTGAACTCCGACTGGCAGCGCCCGCACTTGTGCACGTCATCCTCATCTGCGGGGGAAAACGCCTTCAGCGGGGCCGGGACACGGCCCCAGGGGATGCGGGATAGGGTCAGGGTGAAGGGAGCACGGTGTGTGCGGTGTGGTCGGTGCAATCCCCGCTCCCCGCTCCGGCGGGGCCACCCCAGCGCACCGGGCACAGCATCGCGTCCAGACGGGCTGGAGCAGCTCCTCAGCCTCTCCCGGCACCGCGGTACACCCAGCACCGCCGCTCTGCCGGCCCGGGGATGATGGAGGGGAACGGGGCGATCCCGGCCAGGCACACGGAGACCCCGCCGCCTCCCGCCCCGCTGGCAGCACCGGCCCGGCGCCCGCACCCACCGGGCCGCGCCGCCCCCAGGCCTGGCAGTGCCGACCGGGGCCCTGTGAGGGAGGTACCTTGCTCGCCGAAGGGCGGCGGGAGGCCGATGAGGGCGGCGGAGGGCGCGGGGGGCCCGGAGCCCGCGGCCGCCGCACCCCGGCCCGGCCCGGCCGCTTCTGCCGTAAGCGCCGCCGGCCCCGCGCCCGTTGCCATCGCGGCCCCCGTGTCGCAACGCGCCGCAAGATGGCGGCTTTACGGCCGTGTCGTCATAACAACGGGACGGGGCTCGGCAGGGAACGCGCCCGCGGCGCGGGGGTTCCGGGCGGTGTCGGAGCACGGTCTCTCCGCTCTTCCCGGTGACCGCCGAGCCCCGAGGCGGGGCGGAGCGCAGCCTGGGCAGTTACCGACGAGTTACGGCCGAGTTGTCCAACGCTTTACCGAACGAGCCCCGGGGAGCCCCGGCCAATAGCAGCGCGCGGGGGGCGGGCCCCCGGGCAGGGTGGCCAATGAGAGCGCAGCGCGCCGGGCGCCATCGGCGGCGCCGCGCGGGAGGACGAGGGGGACACCGGGCGCCGGCTCCCGGCGGGCGGGCGTGGCCGCCGGCACCGCCGCCCAATGGGAACGCGGTCCGCGCGGAGCGCGGCCAATGGGGAGGCGCGGGGAGAGCGCGCGGTGGGCGGTGCGGCCAATAGGGCGCTCGGGCGCGGCGGGGCGGCCATGGCAGACGCGATGGCGGCGGACGGTCCGCGGCGCTGCCGGCGGCTGGAGGGCGAGGCGGCGCGGGCCGTGCTCGCCAACGCCGACACGCTGCTCTTCGACTGCGACGGCGTCCTGTGGCGGGGCGAGGCGGCCGTGAGCGGCGCGGCGGAGACGCTGGGCCGGCTGGCGGCGGCGGGCAAGCGGCTGTGCTACGTGACCAACAACAGCGGGCGGACGCGCGCGGCCTACACCGAGAAGCTGCGGCGCCTCGGCTTCCCGCCCGCCGAGCCCCGGCACATCTTCAGCTCGGCCTTCTGCGCCGCCCGCTACCTCCGGCAGGCGCTGCCGCCCGGCGCCGCCGCCTACGTGCTGGGCAGCCCCGCGCTCGCCGCCGAGCTGGAGGCCGTGGGCATCCCGCACCTCGGCCCCGGGCCCGCCGCCCTGCCCGGCCCCGCGCCCAAGGACTGGGTGCAGGCGCCGCTCGACCCCGCCGTGCGCGCCGTGCTCGTGGGCTTCGACGAACACTTCAGCTACGCCAAGCTGTGCCAGGCGCTGCGGTACCTCCTGCGCGGCGGCTCCGACTGCCTCCTCGTCGGCACCAACCGCGACCACCGGCTGCCGCTCGAGGGCGGCGCCGGCATCCCCGGTGCGCGGGGCGAGGGGGGTGGAGGGGGTGCTCCCGGGGCTGGGGGTGGTCTCCGCGCTCAGCTCTGCGGCTCATCGTCCTTCGGTGTGGTGTTGGTAAAATATAAGAAGTTCCACCTCAGCCTAAGGAAGAGATTCCCATGGGGAGTGGCAGAGTGCTGGAACAGCTGCCCGGGGAGGTCATGGAGTCTCCGTCTCTGGAGACGTTCCAGACTCACTTGCACACGTTCCTGTGTCACCTAATCTAGGTGATCCTGCCTTGGGGGGGGTTGGACTGGATGATCTCCAGAGGTCAGCTCCAGCTATCCTGGGATTCTTTGAGGCAGCCTGGGTGTCCCGGAGCCTTTCCTCCACAGCACCCCTGAAAGAGAGAGAATCCTTATTGATCCTTTCCTTGCGAATAGGATTTCCCTTTCGACGTTGCGGGGCGGAATTCCAATCTCCTGGAAGGCTCTCCTGGGACAGACCCGTCCCTCTGCCTGTAGAGCTGAGGCGCTGCATTCGCGGTGTCCTGAGCGGGTTTGTCCCGGCTCCTGTGGGCGCGGGAGCCTCTGCCGCTAATCCCTGCTGCCTGTTCCCCGCAGGGACGGGATGCCTGGTGAAGGCCGTGGAGACGGCGGCGCAGCGCGAGGCTTTCATCGTGGGCAAGCCCAACCGCTTCATGTTCGACTGCGTGGCCGGCGAGTTCCAGGTGGATCCCGCACGCACCATCATGGTGGGGGACCGGCTGGACACGGACATCCTGATGGGCAACGACTGCGGCCTCACCACGCTGCTCACCCTCACCGGGGTCACGGCGCTGGACGAGGTGCGGGGCCACCAGGACAGTGGCTGTCCTGCCAGGCACAGCCTGGTCCCGGATTTCTACGTCGACAGCATCGCCGACCTGCTCCCGGCACTGGGGGAGTGACAGGGCCCGGGCAGCAGCCCTGGGCAGCAGCCTGTGACAGTAACGTACGCACTAGATACTCCCCGGAGTTAGAACCCTTAGCTTGTCTCCTCTCTGTCCTCTCGGTATGATTCTGTTTACATCTCAGTCTGAAATGCACTTTGGAACAAAGGGGGCATTACGGTGGCACCCGGGGCTGGGGCTTGGGGCTGGGTTTAGTTATAAATGCATCGATCCAATGTTTGTGGTGCTCCACGGCACAGGGCACAGCTCTGGGCTGAGCTGGGGAAGTGGAGCTGGTTGATCTGAGCAGAAGGATCATGTCCTGGCCAGGCTGGGCCATGGCTCAGGGAAACGACTCTTGGGATGTGCAGTAGCTGTGGTTGTGTTTGGAAGCACTTGTGGAGATAGTATTTGCCCCTGAGGTGATTCTTTTTCCCTGTTTAGGGGCACAGCCCCACATCAGGTCACACAAATTTATCTCCTTCATTTGACCACTGCACATTGCACTTGAGATGCAGACTGGGATGATCCCACAAAATTCCAGACCTTGGCTGCTGCACACAGTGTCTATCCAAGGTCGAATGTGTGTAAAGTGTATGTACACACAGGCACTCCCTGAGCATAAAGATAGAATATATTTAAATTATAAATAGAGTCTATGATAATATATCTTGTTTCCCAGGAGGGAGGATGAGAGGAATGGACTTCACTGATTTAATTCCCCTAAACCATTGCATTTGGTAATGCAGAGAGTCTGTAGCCACCCAGGACTGTCCTTCACTTCTGCTGCTTCCCAGAAATCCCTGGATCGATGCGTGCCGAGCTCCTGCACTTCCCTCAGCATCAATGAGCCACTTGCCTTGGCTTTAGCTGCACAATCCCAATTCCTGCTCAGTCCATGGGTGCATGGACAGTTGTCCACAGGGAGCCCTGTGGGTCCTGGCTGTGTGTGACAATAGCTCGTGCTTCCTTCCCATCCCTGAGGTTCAGATCTTCCACGTATGCCGGCGGGGGCCAGGCATGGTGGGTGATGAGGAGGAGTGCTGGCTTGCTCAGGGATGATTCCATTTGATCTCCAGGTGGGATTGGGCAATGAGGGGCTCACCACAGGGTGGTTTTTGTGCTGCCTGAATCCCACGGTGAAAGCTTTTGCGTTACAGAATTAATTGAAAATTATATATGCAAATAACACGCTTTTATTCCATAGATTCCAGTATCTACAGTTCAATTTAAGCACTGGTTTTCCTTCCTGTCTAGCTGAGAAGCTTGGGCAGTGCTGATGCCATTTCCTGCCTGGTAACTTGTCACCTTGTTTGTACAGCAATAACCCTGCAGTCAGAGGGTCTTGGTGTTCCCAGAGCATTGCTGAGCCTCTGAAAGGCTGTTTGTTTGTAATTTGGAGTTGTGGAAGGAAACGTGGATAATCTCCCTGCTCCCATCTCCAGACGAAGGACTGCAAAGTGCCAGAGGCAGAGCTTGCCCTTGATCTGGGTAACATGGAAATGGACATTATGGACTCACTGCAGGTCATGTCTGATTGTTACTGTGGGTTTGGATTCATTCTCTGTATCTGGTGCTTTTTGTGTCAGGATATGTCAGGAAAAGGCCAGCAGAGAGTCCAGCATCCCTCAGGCAGCTCTGTCCCTGCTGAGAGCTCTTGGTGGCAACGGAGCCATTGCCTGGGCTCAGGGATGCTGGAATGTGCTGGTGGTGGTATCAATCGTGCTTCAAATTCTGTTCTGACTTCCAAACGGTTCTTAATCCTCTACTTGAATTCCCATTAAACTCTCAAACCTGCTCTCCTCAGCGTTGTCTCATTGTGTGGTCTCTGCGAGCTTTGGTGCACTGGGAATCCTGGGAGTCAGGGATGCAGTTTGGGAAGGGACCTTAAAAACCCATCCAGTCCAACCCCAACACCTCCCACTGTCCCAGGCTGCTCCAAGTCCTGTCCAGCCTGGCCTGGGACACTCAGGGATCCAGGGGCAGCCACAACTTCTCTGGGCATGCTGTGCCAGGGAAGAGTCTTTCCAACATCTAATCCAGCCTTCTGGCAGCAAAGCCATTCCTCTGTCTTGCCCATGCCTTTGGCCGAAGTCCCTCTCCTTCCTGGGGCTCCCTTTGCCCAGGTTGTTCAGCCCTGGGCTGTGCTTGATAGGAAAATGTCCAAAACCTGCATTTTCCCTGGATAGACATCACATGAAGGAATTCCTAGCTTTTCCTTGCCTCCACATCTTTGTTACGTCTAGCTGGCAGGTCTGGAACATTTTGGAGGCTCCTGGACTGCTCAGGATCTGGGTGCTCGAGGAGTTTCTCAGGACAGGGCACGGGTGACAGTGCAGTGCAGGCTGTGGTGGTGACTTTGTGGCACAGCCCCTTTCCCTTTTCCCTCGAGGGTGGCACAGGTGTGTCCGTGCCAGCCCAGGCTTGAGCCAGCAGGATCAACACCTGGCTCCAGCCCACGGAGCTCCGGCAGCACCGAATTCCTGTTGAAATGTGGGAATTGCCACTGCCACAAGGGCAGTGTCCTCTGGTCATTTGATCTCTCAAAGAGCCTCACCTGGGCCCGTGTTGGGCCGTGCCAGCCCCGAGGGGACACAAAGGACCCCATTGTGGCTCTTGCCCATCCCGGGGGTGAGCAGGAAGAGCCACGCCGGGCACTGACAGCAGCACTCAGCTCCTGCTCTGGCCTCAGGTTTCCCTCTCCTGCAGAGCCCCGTGGCTGTGAGGGACAGGTATTTATGTCCCACAGACACACGCTGAGGTTTCCCAGGTGTGCCTGGAGCAGGGATCATGCCCACTCTGTGCATGGGCAGGAGGCAGAGCAGCAGCAGCAGCCAGGTCCTCGCCTGAAGGGGAGGATGGAAGGAGGGGACAGTGCCGGCCGTGCTGCCCCTGCAGTGAGTATTCCCTGTTCCTGCAGTGATATTCTCTGTTCCAGTGTGATATTCCCTGTTCCTGCAGTGAGTATTCCCTGTTCCTGCAGTGATTTCCCTGTTCCAGTGTGATATTCTCTGTTCCTGCAGTGATTTCCCTGTTCCAGTGTGATATTCCCTGTTCCTGCAGTGATTTCCCTGTTCCAGTGTGATATTCTCTGTTCCTGCAGTGATTTCCCTGTTCCAGCAGCTTCTGGGCAAAGGCTGGCTCTGTCCTTCCTTTGGGACTTGACTTTGGACAAGGGTGTGACAGGACACAGGGAATGGCTTCCCACTGCCAGAGGGCAGGGTTAGATGGGATACAGGGAAGGAATTTCTTCCTGTGAGGGTGGGCAGGCCCTGGCACAGGGTGCCCAGAGCAGCTGTGGCTGCCCCTGGATCCCTGGGAGTGTCCAAGGCCAGGCTGGATGGGGCTTGGAGCAGTCTGGGACAGTGGAAGGAGCTGCTGGAGTTTTTATCTGCACCTTTCCCACCAGAGGGAATTCCATTGATTATTGAAAACCTGCCAGTTACTGCAGGGCTGGGGCTCTGCTCTGCTGGAATTGATAGGATTTCAGATATGAGCAGTTCTAAGTCACTGCTTTTCTGGGGGAATGATCTGGAAGTTCCCTGTTTCCAATAAAGATCCATAACTGTCCCAAGGCTGGATCCTCGTGCAGCTGGAACACATGTAATCCTGGGCATGGATTGAATTTCCCTGTCCTTCAGAGGATTGAGAAACAGGTTCTTTTTTAAATGTGGGCTGTGTTTGAGATTATTGAAAGCACATTTTCTGCTTTGTAAAAATCCCATTATGTGCCATGAAGTTTAATTTAATTGCTTCAATGTAAGAATTAAAGTAAATTAACAGAGCCAATAGAAATGTCGCAGCACTGCCAAGCTCTTTTTCCTTGGTCTCATGGAAAACAACTTAGCAAGAAAATCCAGCACAGCCAAGCACAGGGAGGGGAACAGAAGCAGGGTCACTCCACACAGGGTTTGATTCCAATTCTGACAGTCCCACTGGGGATTTCTGCTGTAAACCAAAATAATTTAATTTGTTGCTCCCTGTGTCTGGAAAGCTGCTGCTCCAGCTCTGCCCTGGGGGCTTTGCAGCTTTGCTGGCTGTGGCAGTGCTGGTTACCAGGATGCTGGATCTGGAATTCCAGCTCTGTGGAATAAAGGCTCTGTTATCCCAGGTGCTGCAATGGCTTGACAGCCCTGCGCTCCAATGAGTTTGCACAAGGATTTGTGTCACGAGCTGGAAATATGTTTGATGAAGAAGAATTGGCAGAAGGGTTAATTTTAACTCCTGTTCCTCCTTCTTTTGCCGTGGCAAAAGGACAGGAGGGCCACAGCACACTTCCCAGCTCCCTCCAGGACCTTCTGGATCATCTTGTCCGTTGCCTTGTTGCTTTTTGCAGTTGTTGGCATCAGTGTCGTGGGGGTTCTCAGCTTCTCCCCCAGCTCTGCCCAGGTAAGAGATCCTGATCTGGGCAGGAATCCTCCTCCTGCCTGCAGCCCTGAGCTGTGTGGGAAGCAGTTCCCAGGAGGGATGGTTGGGCTGGACCAGTCCTGGGCAATGCAGGAAGGTGCAGGTGGGGCAGGGACGTGCCAGAGGCTGGGAGTCCCCTGGTCCTTTCCTCCAGCACCTGCTGCCTTTGGCATGAGGTGGGGGTGAGGACGGAGTCGTGGATCATCCTCCCCGTGGGTCAGAGCCTCCTCCTCTGCACTGCTGAATCAGACAAGGAGCAGAGGCCAGCACGGGGCCAGCCGGGGATGCTGTTGGTGGGAGATGCTGCACACACAAGCACAGAGCTGCTGATGGTGGGTGCTGCCCTCCCACTCCTCATGCCCAGGCTGGCTCCCAGCTCGTCAGAGTCACACTCCAGGACCAGCAGGACCTGCTGAGGAACCAGACAGCCGTGGTGGACAAGGCCAGGAGCACCATCACCTACTACATCACCTCACAGAGCAACCTGAGCGCCGTGGTGCTGTACGACAGCAGGAACGTGAGTGCCGGGGCATCCCTGCCTCCTCAGCTCTGTTTGCTGCCTTTCTCTGCTCCTTTAGTCAGGAAACTCAGCAGGGGAAAGGAGAATGCCCATTTCAGGGTTTTCCTGGGACAGAGGTGGGTGTGTGCTGCCTGCTCCACATCAGGGGCACATCTGTCCACAGGGCTACGTGTGCTACAAGCCGCTGGAGCAGCGAGCCTGCTACCTGAGGAGGATGGACCCCTGGGACCTGCAGACCCTGCAGACACCTCTCAACTCCTCTGAGCACACAGTGAGCAGCTGCTGCAGCATTCCTGGGACAGCTGGGGCATGGTTTGAGCTTTGCACAGTGTCGCTGAATATTCTCCTCCATGTGAATTTGCAGGGGTGTCTCTGCACCCCAAGGATCCATGGCAGAGCTCTCCCAGCTGAGGGGAGCAGTGGCAGCCCCTGTTCTGAGGGGTTCACTGCTCCCAGGAGCAGAGCTGTGCCCCCAGGCTGGGCTCTGAGCAGCAGCCCCTGGTTTTATCCAAACCCTGACTCCTGTGGGAAGCAGCTGAGCTGCAGGCTGGGGCAGGGGGATGTGTCCCATGGAGGTGAATAGCACGGCTCCTGCAGGACCTGCTCCCACTGGATTCTGTTACCTGCTCAAAAATCTGGGGGAGGAAAAACAAAGGGGGTTTGTTCCAAACTCCCAGGGAAGAAAGAAAGTTGGAGGCAATTATGTATAGGGACCCTCAGAACAAAATGTCAGTGGATGCCTGAGCAGGGGCAGATTCCATTTCCAGAAGACAGAAAGCCCCATTTTTTTGTGCCCCTGCCATCTGCTATCCATTTCCTCAGTGGCTCCTGGGGGCTCCTTGTTCCTCACCTTACTCCCAGAGAAGTGTAGGAACACAGGATCACAAAGGGGATGCAGGGAAAGCACCTGCCCAGCCTCGAGGCTCCTAAATGGAAGTAAAACTTGGTAGTGCTGGGGTTGCCAGCAGCTCAGAGACAGAAAATGAGACGTGGCAGCCTCACCCTGGGAAATGGGGCAGGACAGCTGGCAGGAGAAACCTGCTGGGGTACAGAGCACTCCTGGGCTGTGGGGCTGGAGGGCCAAAGTGCCTTGGGAGGAACCAACTGGGATGTTTCTTTCAGCTGCTGCAGCACAACAACCAGACCAAGTTCTACCGGGAGTTCCTGGGCATTGTGGCAGGGAAGCAGGTGGAGCCCAGGGGCCTGGGGGAGGCTGTGCAGACCCTGTGTGAGCACACATCCATCTTCTGGGTGCAGAGAGGGCAGGGTAAGTGGGGCAGCTCCCTGGGCAGGGGAGGCAAGAGCTTTTCTAGCACCTCTAAGAGGATCAGGCTCTGCTGCACAACAGCTGATGCATCCCAGGACAGGCTGCCAAGGCCCAGGTCAGGGACTGGTGACCTCTAGTGAAAAACCAGACCATTGTTCACCATCCCTGAGTGCTGCTTCACATCCATCCCCTGTCCTGAGCCGTGGCACTGGGGTGGGCCCTGAGCCCCTGCCCCAGCCAGCACACAGAGCTGTCCCCTGAGACATCACTGGTTAATCCCTGACCTTCATCCTCAGCCAAAGCAGCCTGCTGAGCTGTCAGCCTGCTCTGTCTCACTCCAGCTTTCATTCCCTGAGGCTTTCCCCTTGCTCGGCTCCCTGGGGACCCTGCAGCTGCAGGACCAAAGCATCCCTGGGGACCCTGCAGCTGCAGGATCAAAGCATTGCTCTCACTGCAGTCCTTGCTCATTGGCAGGCCCGGGGAGGCAGCGCCTCATCTACCTGTGCATTGACATCTGCTTCCCCAGCAACATCTGTGTGTCCATCTGCTTCTATTACCTGCCTGAGTAAGTGCTGCAGCCACGGCCGCCTCTCTGCCCTCACACTTGAACAGGATTCCTGAAAAGCCTCTGACTTCCAAGAGGAAGGGAACACCTACAACATGCCCAGAGCTTCCTGCTCATTTCATGCTGCAGGTCAGGAGAGTTTAGAAAAAAAGGATGAGGAGAGTTTAGAGAAACAGGAGGCCTCTGCTCAGCACTGTCAGCACAGACACTGCAGCTCTGCTCCAGGGCTGCACCGTGTCCGTAGGAATTAGGAGACCCAGGCCTAGAGGAATCCCAGGAAGCAGCTGGAGTTTTGGGGCTCCAGGCTCTGTCCAACACAAGGTGGTTCTTGTTACACCCGGGGGGTGGTTGGCTTTAGGAGAGCAGCTCTCCAAGTCACTCTGTGAAACACTTTGAATAAAGGGATTGCAAACCGAGACAAGAGCTGCTTCTCCTCTTTGCTCAGCCTCTCCCATCACTTGCAAAGGCTGACTTTTATTTTTTTCCCACTCTGGGCTACGAGAACATCCAAAGCTGTCAGCAGTCAATGCTCCAGGGATTCCTGCAGCTGAACTGTACCTGTGTCCCTGCAGTGGGATCGTGCCACCCTCTCCCATTCCCTCTCGGAGGCCACACACATTTCAGTGATGTCCTGCCTGCAGCTGAAGCCTGGTCTCACCCCAGGCAGCTGCAGCTGCTCCTGTCAGAGCCCCAGCCCTCTCCAGGTGGGAGGGGATGGGTACAGTGTGAGTCCCAGGCTCTGGAGAGGGTCTGGCAAGGCGAGGGGAAAGAAGCAGAGGTCCTGTCCTTGCCACACGTGCCCGTTATCCCAACACGCTGTCATTGAAGGCCAGGCAGACCACGGCTTTCTGGTGGCCACTGTATTCCCTCTTGATCTCTCCTGTCTCCACACACCACAGTCTGGCCAGGTTATCAGAGGAGGCTGGAACAGAGAGTGAAAAGGAAAGTGGGATATATATATATTACCTTTTAAGTTTCTTTTTTAACTATTATTTACTATTATTATTTCCTCTTGCTTCATTCAGCCATCCTTAGGGCTGGTGATGACCAGCAAGGCAGAGCAGCTTAGTGCATTTCTCTGTACGTGGTGTTTAATAGTTTTGGAGAGCAGTGAGTGTGGAAATGACCACAGGTGTGTTTAAGGGACTAACACACTGTGACCTGTGAGATGAACAGCACAGCTGGAGATCTCCTCTCCAGTTCCAACAGCTGCCCCACTGCAGCAGCACAAAATGCTTCAGTCAGCAGAACTGGGTGGTCTCACCTCACACCCCCCGTGCCCAGGCTCTGCCCATGTCCCAGCCAAGGTAACTGGTCAGGCCTGGCTGCTGCAGGGCCCTGGCACAGCCCAGGTGCTGCCTCACCTGTGACAATGTACTGGGAGTCCCCAGAGAAAGCACAGTCCCACATCCAGCCCCGGGACGTCTCCCCAGGGTTGTTGCTCTTAATGCTCAGCTCTGTCATCAGAGAGAAGTTTGAAGTCCTCCAGATCTTGCACGTCTGATCTGCAGAACAGGTGGCCAAGAGCCTGCAAGGAGACATGTGAGGGTAACCCCATCAGTCACTGTCCCCCTGCAGGCCTCTTGCTACCACAGACCTGGGCCAGGGCCAGTGACAGCCTGGAGACCTGCCCCCATTGCAATCAGATCTCCTTACACCTGCACTGTCTGATTTGGGAGATTCCAGCTGAACAAGACTCTGTGAAGGAGCTCACACTGCAGCAGTTGGATCCCAGCTGTAGAACAACTCATGGCTGCAAACCTTGCTGAGCTCAGGGAGCTCAGTGGGACACCCCTGACATCAACTCTGTGGTGCCACATCCCCTGACCCCTGTCCCGCTCCTCCCTGGGGCCTGCAGTGTGGAGCCAGCAACAGCCACAGCTGGGGCACAGCTGGGGCACAGCTGGAGGCACAGCTGGAGGCACAGCTAGGCCCTGCCTCCCGTGTTTGCCCTGGGAGGGAGGTGAGGGGCTCCACACTCACGTGGAGTCGGGGCTGAACTTGCACTGCAGGGCGTAGCGGTTGTGTGCTGGGATCTTGGTCTTGGGGATCAGCTGTGTCACCTCCTCACCAATTCCACCCGTCAGGTTCCACACGTAGCAGTTTCCCTGCAGAGACACAGCAGGATCTGTGTCCAGGCTGCTGCATGCCCATCCAAACCCAGCCCAGCTCCCACCCAAGCAGGGCTCACCGAGCTGTTCACAGCTGCCATGTAACTGGCGTCAGGGTCGATGTGCACCGAGTTCACCGACACCTCGGGCTCGGGGATCAGCTGCTCGTTGTGGTCAGTCTTCAGGTCCCAGATGTGGATGGCCCCGCTCTGGTCACCTACAATCAGCTCTGCCTGCAGGGACACACGGCCTGGAGCTGGCACCCTCATCCATCACTGCAGCCCTGCTCTGGGTTTAAACATCAAGGTCCTGCCCTGCCCCCTGTCTCCCCAGCTCAGGGCTGCTTCACATCCTGCTGACACCCATGACACTCTGCAAAAGATTGTTTCCCTCCCCAGAAGGGTTTGCTGATTTCCTGGACCCCAGAACAAACAGAGCTGTCCCGGTTCCAGGGCTGTGGCACAGGCACAGCTCCACAGGAGCCAAGTGCTTTCAGCACGTCTGAGAGGCAGCATTAAGGGACATGTTGGCCACTGAACAACTGAAGCACTCAAGGCTGCAGATACCTGAAAAAAACACAACCCGAAGTGGGTTTTTCTCTCTCTCTCCCCTTCTCAGGGGAAGGACAAGAGCCAAGGGCAGGAGTCCTGGCTCTGATCCCATGCTCAGAGCAGACAATGCTGGCATGTCTCCACTCAAACCAGGCCTTTATCGACAGCCCTGCGCTGGCCACAGTTTTAGCAGAATCCCTAGAGGAGATCAGGTCATCAGGCACAGCTAATCCTGTCCCTGGGAGCAGAGGCTGGTTCTGACGAGACAAACACCACTCAATGCATTTATCTGACTGCACAAAAGTCTCTTCTGGGCTCCTCAACCCTCAGCCCCCCTTCTCAGCAGCTGTAAATGCTGAGTCCAGAGTTTTCGTGGCTTTACTCAGGCCATGAAGAATCTCTGGATAATTGGATCAGCAACTCTGCAGAGGGAACTGCAGAGCCACGGAACTGTCCCAACAAACGCTGCTACCTTTGGTCTAATTAACCATCTTCTGCTCACAAACCAACACTGCACCTCAGCAGCATCTTGGTAAGGGATTATTTCCCATCTAAGACCTGTGTTCAGCAATATTCATCTAACATAACACACTCTCTCAGCACTGACACTACAAGAGCATTTGGACAGTCTGGTCCAAATAACCGATCTCAAATTTAGTCTGAAATTCCTGATTTGCAAAACTAAACCTTTGCTAAATGAAAAGCAAGGAAACATTTCCATTACTCAGGATTTTACCGAGGTTTGCACGGCCCTGTCTGCAGGCAAAACCACAGCCCTGCAAGCCCAGCCAGGCCATTAACACTGATTGATCTCTATTGATTTCCCTGCTCCTGCTCCCTTCAGCCTCTTCAAGAGTCCCCATTCTCCCTCTGCTCAGCAACAGCTGCTGAACTCACTGGTGAACATCAGCCAAACCTGACCTGAAAGGAATCACGGCCAAAGGCCCCAGGATGCTTTTCCTTGGCAGTGTTGTCACCCTCAAGCGTCCCAGCTGCCCTCACTCTTCCAGCTTTGCTCCCATCACATCCCCAGTGATGTTCAGGGGCAGAGTCCCCTCCCAGGGCATGTTTCCTCCCATGGGATGAGCTCAGTGCAGCCTCTGTGCTGTCCCTTTGCAACAGCCACCAGGTGATCAGCACAAACACATCGTGTGAAGCCCTCAAGCCACGACCTGTTGTACCCCATCTTCTGCTGGGATACATCTCTCCAAGCCCCAAAGCCAGGCTGGATGAGGCTTGGAGCACCTTGGGATGGTGGAAGGTGTCCCTGCCCATGGCAGGGGGTGGAATGGGATGAGCTTCAAGCTCTGTTCCACAGGATTCTCTGAGCTGGGAAGCCCCAGAGGAGGCACCTTCCTCACCTGGTTGGGGTGCAGGCAGACGCAGTTGATGGGAGCGTTCACCTGGAAAATGCGCTGGCACTGCAGGTTACGGGACCTGTGACAGAGCAAGGGAGGAGTGCTCAGGGCTCTGAGATCGGCCCCACAGCCCGGGAGGCGCTGCCACACGGGGGGAACCCCTCGGTGCCCACCTGAGGTCCCAGATGCGGGCCATGCAATCCTCCCCGCCCGTGTACATCCAGCGCCCGTCCTCGTGGAACCCCACCGAGGTGATGTTCTTGCTCACGCCGTCGTAGTTGATGACGGGGTTGGGGTTGTTGGAGTTGAGGTCGTACATGCGGATGTGCTGGTACCCTGCGAGCACCGGGCAGCGGCTGAGCACCGGTACCCGGTGTGCCCGGCGTGCCCGGCGGGGCAGGAGCGCTCACCTGCGGCTGCGATCATGCTCCGGTCCGGGGTGATCTCCAGGGCGTTCACCTGCTGTGGGCTCCGTTAAGGTCGGTACGGAGCCATCACCGGGCCCGAACGCGGGGGCGGCCCCAGCTGCCGGGGCGGCGGGGAAGGAAGGATACGGAGTCCTGGTGCTGCACCGTGCGGGTGCAGATGCCGCTGTGCGCCTGCCAGAACCGCACCGTGTGGTCGTAGCCGGCTGTGGCCAGGATAACCGGGTCGCTGCCCACCGTGCCCTGCGCCGCGTTCATGGTGCCGCCGCTCCCGGAGTCGCCGCGCCCCGCCCGCACTCGGGAGACTCCCTAAAGCCTGCAGGGTCTGTCTCACGCCGCGGAGTCTCGGCCCGGCCCGCGGGTCACCCTCACCCCGTGTCCCCCCGGTCCAGCCCCGGTCCCGGTCCCGGTCCCGATCCCCGCACGTTCCCAGCTTTGCGCGTGCGCGCGGCTCCCCGTGAGCGCGCAGCCGCTCCGGGCCGCGTCCTGCAGGAGTGCGCATGCGCCGCGGCGGGGCCGGGGGACGGACCATGGCCAGGGAGCGGGGGGAGCGACGGGCGAGACCACGGCGGGAGGGGAGGGGGAGAGCGCGTTCGCAGAGGTGCCAGCAGGGGGCGCCGTGCTGGAAATGGGATATGGGATATGGGATCTGGGATATGGGATATGGGATATGGGATATGGGATATGGGATATGGGATATGGGATATGGGATATGGGACATGGGCTGTGAGGTATGGGACACGGGANATATGGGATATGGGATATGGGATATGGGATATGGGATATGGGATATGGGACATGGGCTGTGAGGTATGGGACACGGGACACGGGACACGGGACACGGGACACGGGACACGGGACACGGGACACGAGACATGGGACACGAGACACTGTACATGGGACACACACTGGGCACACTCTGGGCACAGGACGTGGGACACGGGACACACACCGGGCACCAGCCACAGA